TTATAAACAAAATGTAACTGCCATTAGTGCTTCTGTTAATGGACGATTCGTGTTAGAGTTGTTTAATATGTTGCTGACAATAAATGCACTTAATGCCCTATTAATACTCATCTAATCCCGATTAGCTCAAATATCAATAATAATAATAATAAGTAAATTCTGTGTGTGTGTTATATATAGATATAACGGTAATTTTGAAATCAGGAAAGTGGATCACATTCTGCTTCATTGCGGATAAAAACTGAAATGAAATGCGATTGGATGTTCCGCTTTTTTGCACCACCCGGATTAATGAAGGCGGAAATGCACCACGTTTTGAGCTGTGGGAAAATTCCCCCTGATAACGGTACACGGCACTACGGTCTATTCTTGTTTCTGTTTCTAACTGTCGGGAGAGTTTTAACGGATGTCAGCGGTATACAAGGGCACTCGGTTTCTGTAGTATTCTTGAGAGCGCACCCCACCCCCTCGTCGGGCACAAAAAAGTTCATCGGGATATTTCGGCGTGGTTTCACCTTATCAGTGGTGCAGGACGAGGGGGGGGGCTGACAGAGGCGGCTGTCTAGTCGTTCGGATGGGACGAAAACAGAGGTCCCGTGTGCACATTGGCGTGCACGTAAATTATCCCTTGAAAGTTGGATATAACAATAGGCCGCAGTGCCACTGTCCGGGCAAAATTTCCCTCATAGCACACTGTATGGCATATGCCCGTCTTCATTAGCCCAGTTCGGACGTTCAATGACATTTCATTTAATTTCCTGACGAGGGGAAACCAAGCTGAATATCCAGGGAATCTTTCTAGACAGATACCTAGATCGAACCCAGCTTCTCCTGGTTAGCTACTCGCCGAGCCACTGTGGCTCACCGAAATCAAAATATGCTCACAGGTTTATAATAATTTCTATAAGGGAATGGAATTCCCCTTCCCACCAACAGCAGCAAATGAAAGCAACAAAATGAGCAAAGCAGTATATTCATTCGATATTTTATGTTAGAATCAATCATTTTGTTCAATATCACAAAAAGGTTGGACGAAATAATATCGATCTATCTATTGATTACAGATTATAAACCTTTTCAGTGTTGCTTCAGAAAAGGGGTTTAGCGATCGGTAAGAAATAATGGAGTTGGTCTGTACTTGTGGTAATGTCCATATTAATTTTACACTTTAAGGTATTTCAATCGTTATAATAGCATTCTGTATATGTGTAATTGTGTTATATTTCTATTTCCTTTTCGTAAGTCGATCGGGCTCAGTGCGTTAGACGCTGCATCGCTAAGCCGAGAAGTTCCTTGTGCGGTTTCCCCTTGTCAGTGGTGCAGTACGGATGGTGTGAGAAGGATAGTGTCCAGTCGTTCGGATAGGAGAACAAATTGCGATCCCAAGTACAGATTGACAGTTGGAATTCAAAATGTCTGGACAAAATGTCCCTCATAGCACACCGTATGTGGCGTATGCCTGTCTTCATTATCCCAGTCGGTGCAGAAAAGTAGGACGTTACACCCCATTTCATTCATTTTCTGTTTCAAAAGGCCATAATCAGATAGCAGAGCTGTTTGTGTTAAAATTGAAAACTTATCTAAATCATATTTTAAGCAATAGAATGTTGTCCACTATCCTTTAGGTCACACTTGCAACGATAAATCCACGCAATACATACGGCACTCCCCACAATATCACCGGCGCTATAAACATTTATAATCTCCCAAATACTTGGCTGACTTTTTTGATCTCTTGTATTGTGGAATTTTAACACAGGTGGTTCGAGTCTACACTATGCCCTCAGTCAACCAGGCTTCTTCTACTCTGTAACAATGAGTTTTAAGATAGAATATATTTCGATTTCTCAAACACATGAATGTTTTGTATAGGATGAAAAAAAAACCCATAGAAAGCTATTTTAAGCAGAATGTATTCCAAATCTTTAAAATAGCCCCTTATTATTACAACATAGAAACACACGGGTAAGTTAATGCCAACAGGTCAACTCCAAATACATTTTAGAGATTTAAAACATTGATCTTTTTAAAATCGTAATTATCAGATTATAACTTCTAAATATGGACAGGATAACATAATCCATACACTTGTTAGTGAGGTTGCGTGACAGCTGTTTCGTGCAGTTAGTTGTTTGAAGTAATTCCGTAAAAAATAAAATTAAATGCGGTTTAACGAAGTACTTTGTTTTGCACTGTCCGGACGCATATAGTGTGCTATGAGCGAAATCTTGCACTTTAAAGGGTTCTTGAGGTGAATGGGTGAACCTCGGCTTCTGGTACTATTTCAACGAATAACGGCGTTTTTCAATACCAGGCCCTCCGCCCTGCATCACTGAACCCGGGATTCAAATTCCCGGGGAACTTTCATGGCCGGTTGATGAGCCAACCACATGCTACCTGAGCCCCAAGTAAATCCGTATTGTAGGAGAGGTTCACGGCAAAGAAAACTTGTTCAAAGAAAGTTGATCATATTTACTAAATAAAAAGGTAAGCCTCCGTGGATTACCCTATTTCGTAATTTTTATTTGGACTCCAACACGTTGAGTCAAGAAGTGTCCTTTAGCAATGTTGATCGCTACATCAAAAATTGAACCCACAACGAATGTGGTGACTATTTCGACCGGAGCAATAGAGACTCCTTTTTAAGAGACAAACTGACAACTTTCATAGTGTAGCATCGGCTTTCAAAATTAAGCCTAATTCTAACAACGTGTCGTGCATGAATATATGAAATGAAAATGAAATGGGGTTTAACGTCTTACTGTTCTGCTCCTAAACTGGGCTAATGAAGACGGGCATACGTCATACAGTGTGCTATGAGGGAAATTTTGCCCGGGATTCGGCGCTATGGCCTACTCTTATATCGAATTCCAACTGCCAATGGATCTTTTACGTGCCCGCTGTCAGGCCCTCCGTCCTGCATCACTGACAAGGGGAAACCACGCAGGAAAATCTGGATGAACTTTCTCGGCCAATGCAGGGATCGAACACCCGACCTCCAGGCTAGCGAGCCAGCGTCTTACCCACTTTGCCACGTGATCCCCGCATGAATATATGATTTATACCACGATATTACTATTTGATCAAAATATTCGACTCGCTTTACTTCATACTATTTCAACATTACGGTATCTGCACATTACATTGTGTAATTTTTGCTTCAAATTATTAATTTAACAGGTCTTCATATTTTGTACGACGTCATTTAAAACGGATTGAGTTTATTGAACAGTAACACTTTCTATTGTTATGCTGTCTATCAAGCATGTTGTTACAATGGTGAGCATATGTCAAGTTGTTACAATAACATATGTTATTTATTATTTTATTAGAGAAGAACTGTGGTCTCGCAAGAACAGTCGATGCTGTTCACCTCAACTGTTATGGTCTGGTTGACGAGTAGTATTGATCGGTCATGATATACGGAAATCTTGTCCCACGTGTACGATTACAACAGCATAGTAATATTTGTCATAGGTCATTATTGTGCATAACAACATAATGTTCATTTAATGTGTGGCATCATAATAATGTAATGTTTGTATCTATATTTTTAAAAATCCTAGACTAAGTGTATCTTATTAGGTGTGTGCAATTTAATTGTTTTCTGTTTTCTGGTCTCGCTGACTAATTGGCACTGGATATTTTCTTTTGGTAGTTGTGATCTGTTGCTGTTGTGTTTGCTTTATTTTGATTACGTACATGCCACAAATTTCTTGGATTAACAAAAGTGAACCAGGGAATAAAAACGAATTCATAGCTACTTTCTGAGGAAAAAAACCAGGTTTATTTTACGGGATTAACAAACCACCAAGCCACAACACGGAAAGCATCGTATAGGTGCAATAATTGTGCAAACGTGCGGTTATTAGCGAAGTTCTGTGGTGTATATTCCTCAATTCCTTGACAGAAATGGATTAAGGTGATGGCATAGTTCCCATCCTCAGATTGTAATAGAATAATATTTATATGTTTTGTTGTGGGTGCTTTATTTTAAAAGCAGGTCTAGTACTGACAGTTGAATTACCTGGAAAATAGAGGAAGCGGAAATTGGGGCGTGAATATTTCTGAGAACTTTTCTCTTGTGGTTGTCTTTAATCTTTCCTAAGCGCAAGGATATGATATTTGGAGCGGAAATAATGATATTAGGATTTATGCGGGGCGCAAACAGTTTTCAAAAACATAGCTTATGGTAATTATAAGTTTTCTAAGAACACCTTTATAGTCAATTGCTGGTATTGGAAATAAACGCTGCAAAACTATTTAAAGAGAGAACTGAGAACGGGATTGATGTTAAATTATAATCCCGAGCGAAGCTATGTGAAATATTGGCCGCTAGGGGGTGGGATTAAATTTACCTGAATAAATTGCATAGGAAATAATGCCATTTTACTCTTCACGTATAAAACTGTACTTCACCTGGTCATAGAATATGCATTTTCCATATACACGGCGAAATCTCCAGATTTGAAATTAACGAAACTTAATATGTCCGCTGGTAAGAAAACCATAATATGTAAAATTGTGTTGTTGTTTTTATAATATGTAAAATTGTGTTGTTGTTTTTATTAATTTTTTCGTTAAAAAATCGATTAAATTATTGGACACGACGGCGCCGTATTTATAACTGTGGATAAATATAAATTCGATACTCAACCATCGCATGCCCGTCGAAACGAAATACATATTGGGGGATCTGCATCAAAGTGATTTCTGAAAATTCGACCTGATTCGAATGCAACATTAATTTCCAGACTTTGTGCGTCGTCCTGCATTATATGGGAGTATAACTGTAGGGAGTAAATATCTGATTAGAATTTAAATGTTTCATTCTCCACAGAAGACACTGTCATCCCCATTTTTCGGATCTCCATATGACATATGTTTAAACTAGTTTATACCATTTGTTATGACCTCAAACATGTCAATACGTGTTATGAATTTTATGTTGTATTGTGTCACAATTCTCTAGATATTTCTAATGTTTTTCAGAATAAAAGAAATTTTAGTGTGTGCAATCGACCAACCTCAACATGAATAAACCAATCTATTTGATCCAATCTCTAATTGTTTTATCCGGGCTGTTACTCAATTGTCTAGCTAAAGAGAACCATTTACTGCGGATAGGTAGGTAATACGTTATATATTGTATCGTATCGTATAATATACACAGTAATACTATTAAAACAGTTGAATACAGATATGATATTATTAACATTACCAGCACATTGGACCCCGGACAGAAATAAATAAACAGAATCTACCAAAATTAAGAATTCGACACGACATGTTTGTGCATCTTTACTGCGAAAAAGACAAGATCCAAATAAGATTTAACGTCCTACTTTCTTGGACCAACCGGTATATCGAAGATGGGCATACGCCATGCAGTATGCTATGAGGAAATGTTGCCCACAAAGGAGCGTTACGGTTCTTTTGTGTGCACGCAAATATGTAAATGGGACCTCGGTTTTTCGTCGCATTCGAATGACTAGATACTGTTCCTTGTCTAGGCCTGCGATCTGACTGACAAGCAAATACCACTTAATGACATTGATTTGAGAGTTGTATACTATAAAATAAGGGTTAAGCAGCATTATCACCATTTACGGTAAATTACATTAGAAATAACATTATTTTTGCATTATTAATGCTTCAAGACAACTATTAGCCCCTCAGGTAATTTTAATAGTTGCCCCTGGATACAGTTTAAATAATGATACAGTTTAAATAATTAATACATTTTTTTATCTCGAGAAACAATAGATTATCTAAGCTTTTTCACAATACATTGAACATCAAGTTTTTAAAATAGCTATTAATTATAACAGTTTTGAATAGAAAAAAGTATTAAACAAACAAGAAAAAAAGGGAAAAAATATTGTGCATGCTGAAAATGTTAAAGAAACTGCATCGAATTACTCATTACCAGAGAGAGAGAGAGAGAGAGAGAGAGAGAGAGTTTGGGGTTTAAGTAGGTCATTTCGGGACTATAATATGATTCAATTATATTTCAATGATTTGCTTGCGCGTAGATGTCTTTAGCACTGTGGCGAAACTCACGAGGTCGGACAGGCGACCCCTACTCCTTGTCACGTACAAGCGGGGATTTGAAACCACGCCACTTGACCCAATGGCGGATCTTATGATTTCATGCGCACGTGATAAACCACTAGATCCCCCTGTATACTTTAATTTCTTATTATTTATGTTTGGCGAAATACGCGAAGAGTCCCAATTGAGTAGTATTCTTTGGTTATTCCAGTCTACATCGGTAGTATTCTCACCTAGGATATGTTTAGCCTCGTTGATCGAGTGCCAATTTTAAAATTTGCACGTAAAAGATCCCTTGGCAGTTGGAATTCGATATAAGAGTAGGCCGTAGTGCCGCTGTCCGGGCAAAATTTCCCTCATAGCACACTGTATGGCGTATGCCCGTCTTCATTAGCCCAGGTTAGGAGCAGAACAGTAGGACGTTAAACCCCATTTCATTTCATTTCATTTCATTATTTAGATATTATAAGTCCATCTTTTCACGGTAAGATAACATCATCAATGTTGATTTAAATGGGCCAATAAGTCGTGTTTGCTGCAATGTCGAAGACTATGGATGATACTGAGTTGAAAACGTATAATTATAGCTACTTTAAAATATTTGTTTTTACGACATTGAAACATAGCGTAGTGCCAGTTTTATTTAGAACATAAACATAATTCGAAAATAAAATGTAACTGTTTTAAGGTAATACATCCTGTTGTACAGATGATGACACGTCCTGGGAGTTGCGGGAAATTGTGTCCCAATCGACCAGTCAACAACACATTCAGCCCATTCCTCTCAACCGTAAATCTCAATATGACCACGTCTATACAATGGACCCTGTTATGTGCAAACCAATAATCACCGCATTTCACCGAGACTAAATTAATAGACAATTTTAAATAAATTGTTTTAGTGCGTAATGTTTTATTACCCCCACAGGAATATGTGCTACAATCGTTTAATACTAATTATATTCTCTGACACTTCCAATACTGATATTAACACCATTGTTAACTATCGGCGTGTGGAAACAGAGATATTCATCTAATCTGTTAGAGGTATTTAATAACTGGATAAAGTTATAAAATATTTATGACAACACAGTTGATATAGCACATGTAATGCAGCAACACAGTGAATGAATTGTGAATTACCATGTATTAAATCATCTTGTAACGTGGACGGAAAATCTTCCTTTGTTATTTTAGTTGATTAAGCAGATTGTTCTCCCTCTAGTAGATTGGGTGGAGCTTAACCGTGCAATAAGTAGACATGTTCAATGTTATTGCACTCTTTTGCTGGTTTGCACTAGTTTTAGTAGAAATCATAATATAGGGAAGTGGTGTGGGTTTTCTGTGCAATAACAACAAGCATGTTGAGCAGTGTCAATGTTACAGGTCATTTATAACACGCTTCATTCGTTAACAGGTTTAACATCTCGGCCTACGGCCGTGCTATAAATATAACTTATATTAATAATGACAAAGTACAAAAATATATAAATATGATTATAATGAAATTTGAAATACATTAAACATATAAAATAATAATAATACAAATTGACTAATACTGTATTGATCAAAGATGGGGATCAGAAAACTGTCACAATATTGCTGTAACTGTTCTCAGACAACGTTACAAGCAATAACATAAATATAACACATATATTTGGGTGTTGTGCTGAAGAGTATTCTCTCAATGTAACCTTTTAATTACCGACTGATTGACTGGTTAAAGAAGTTTTATATCCGCTTTCGCACAGGGAAATATCGCATACATTTGTTTCCGCCACAGGTTGTTCTTAAGCTCTTTGATACCATAAATAGACAGACATATCAAAGAAAAATATCATGTTAATCCAATAAGAATGTTTTGTATTGAGTTGTGGTTTGGTATATCTTGTTTATTATCAGCAGTCATAATTCTATGTACAGAATTGTATACTAATCAAATCTCAGGGAAACGGCGTTTTTAATAACATTGTTTATATGGCACTATAATGGCAGTATACATTTTAACAGTCTTGATAATATAAAAGCCTAAGTCCAACCATCAGCAATAATACTAACTCGGGCGCACATCAGAGAGCAGCTTCAAGATCTCCGCCTCATCTCGGAAGACCAAATGATGTCCAATCCGACACTCTAGCCCGAGCCGGCGGAATTTGTGAACCATCTTTAGGATCCCACCATCGTGACCAAAATATTTCTAATCCCAGCCTCCAGTTACAATTAAATTGTAATATCTCTCAATGGTAGCCAAATGAAGGTCTGCAGAATTCGGGGCTCGCTCAACACGTGTTTACTTGATTGATCGCTTGCAAACACATCGTCCTGAATTCCACCACAATATACCTATACGGCAACTGATGGGGTGGGGATACTTATAAGTGTCGATATATGGATTATTTGCAGGGCACCCAATTAGCTCAAAATATTATTTGAAAACTTACCCTGGTGCAGTAAGCAATACTTGTAATAAAAGAACTTGCCAACCCTTACAAACTGATAGTATTATATATACTTTTCATTTAACTTTAGTACAGGAATGTTGGGACTGTAAATAATAAAAAGGCCGGTAACTATTATATCTACGTTTGTATTTTGAATTTATGTAAACACCATCGTCATGGCATCACAGTATATAAACGAACCATAGAAATAGTTATAGCATTGTTTATAGAACATGTCAATTCTATATCTAATTATATTGGTATTCTTAATAGTAATTATAAGTTTATTGTTATCCCTTTATTGATGGCGATATCAATATAATAGAACTTAATTACCATGTTCCTGGCGTACATAGTATAAATCTCTTATCTTTAGAACTATATCAACAACTGTCAATACTATTTATTTCTTCCTATTTATCTCAATTGAGTTAATGCATGAAGAAACTCGTCAGTCGTTCCATTTATACACCACTTGTCTATTGGGAGTGATCGTTATATCTATTATTATACTTGGCCCACTGGCAATCCCGATACAATGCTTAAAACTCTAGTACCAGGCATATAATCTACAGTGACCACATCCTATATAACACATTACTGTCATCAAGCAATGATACAATTATAAACTAGAACTCCAAAGAGTACTGACGTGTTTTGGTACGTCAGGTCACGCCTTGTCACGCCTTGTCACGTCAACATTCAAGTTATACCATGCTTTATTGAGTATAGTAAATATAATACCTATTAAAGTGGAAAAACCTGTCATTTTGAACTTTTATTAATAAAACCGGAAGTTATACTTCAAGACCGAACATTTTGATATTAATTGTTAGTAGACACGATGGTCATCATATGAAAAGGTCAAGGGTCATTAAAAGGTTAGGTAACCAGATAGAAATTGAACAGTGGAAGAAAATTCAAAGTGAAATCGGAAGTTGTTATTTGGAATAGGTTCAAAACAAAAATAAGGTTTTGAAAATCGGAATCAAAATAGCGGCTGAATATCGATTTGAAGATGTTTTGTAAAATCCAATATGGCGGCCAAAGAATCTAAAAATGAAAACCCGAAGGCGATCCGTTGAGAAATAACCGAGATATGGGCATCCGAGATTATTTTTGTCCCATCCGCAAAACAGTTCCTGTTTGTCAAAAATAACTCAATTTATATTTAATAAATAGATCCACGGAGGGCAACAGATTCTACGTTGGCAGGATATTTGCACCATGTACAGTTTTGGCTGCACAGACTGACTAACCCCCCCCCCACCCCCGCCAAAAAAAAAAAATAAATAAAAAATAAATAAATAAAAACACTTACAGATACAATACGTGTTTCGCCAAAGTTAAAAAAAAACGTAAAAATGATAGGACATAATATACATGTAAACAACAATGAAAACCGGTGACCAACAACAGACATGTGACTAGGGTGACCTAAATTAATAAATGTAAACGTATTATGAGGAGTTGGTTATGGTGATGCCAAACATTTCATAACACCATTTGATAGTAATTGATTAAATGCTATTAAAACATCCAGTATTTCCATTTCAATTGCATAATACCATTGAAGCTGTTTACCAGACATGTAATCTAGTTGATCAATATAGAACCGGAAGTGTTCTCATCCTGGATTTTGAAAACTGTATGCAGTTTAAAAACAAACAGGAAATATGTTATACCATATTTTTTTTTCTTTTCGAATACTTTCACGATGTTGCTCTTTTTGCAAAAAGCTGTTTGCATAAAATAATTCACTTCCTAGACAGTTTGATTTATAGAAAGAAATCCAACCTCGTGGGTTTTCTCCGGGTGCTCCGGTTTCCTCCCGCTGCTAAAGACCCCTATGCGCAAGCGAATTGTTGAAATAAAATTAAACCATATGTTAGTCCCGAAATGACCTAGTTTGTGTCGAGTGGACGTTAAACCCCATTTCTCTCTCTCTCTCTTTATAGAAAGAAAAAGCCTAGAAATGGATTAGCAAGTAAAATAGGACATTTTGGTATCCATCAGAATACACTGACTGCTAGCAGTAGAAGGCGATTTTAAATTGGCTTAAAACATTCTCGCCCAGATGACATAAATATTCGGCGAAAATTCCGAACAAGATTTCGAGTTGTCGATTTCGGTGGTAGCTATAAAATCTTGCTTATGGGGATAGCTATTATGAAGTCTGACTCTGACGTATACAGACAAATATCAGCATGTAAAAAAACACAATTGGTATTCATTGAAATGCACTCTATTTGTTCATGCAGTGCTGGAGATCGCACAGATAAAACGTTGGCCCACCCCAGCTATATACTCTTCAAAAAAAGTAGGGGATATTGAAATGCAAATACCTATGCAGGTTGTGATATGATAAATAGTCATGGCCACTTGACATGCTTTGAGAGTATGTTCACAGATGAAGAACTTATCGCCCCAGCAGAACCACTGAGCTGCACCTGCGACACGCAATTGCGCCATACACGTGGTAGGGGTTCATTGTCAAATTTGACACTTCAAGGAAGGGTTGATGAAAACTGCCGCGTGCTGGTTTATCCTATCCATGTTTGCTTTCATATCGGTTCTTGCATAAGGTGTACTGTTTAGCGTATCTTTGCTTGAGTGTGTTACGTTTAATTCTGCAATGAGACGTCTTCAACATGATGAACGTCTACGTGCTATTGGCATTCTTCAAATGGGTTCTACACAGCGAGCAGTAGCCAATATGCTTAATGTTTCACAGTCTGTGATCAGCACACTGTGGAACCGGTACCAACAAACACACAACGCTGATGATAGACCTCGTTCAGGTCGTCCTAGAGCCACTACACAAGCCGAGGATCGATACATGCGTACACGGATCCTGCGAAATCGAGGACAATCGGCCAATCAGCTTTCTGTAAACTTGTACCAAGTAACAGGAATTCGAGTTACACCCCAAACGATTAGAAATCGGCTACATGCAGCCCATTTGCATACGTGACGACCGCGTGTTGTGCCTCCATTAACTCGCCAGCATATGGCAAACAGGCATCAATGGTGTAGGCAGCGTAGAAATTGGGGTACTCGTCGATGGGCGCGTGTAATGTTCCCAAATGAGTCCAGATTTACTCTGGATTTCACCGATAGGCGTGCTCGCATTTGGGGGCGTGTAAATGAGCGTCATGCCAACGTTAACGTCATACAGCATTACAGATTCGGGCGTAGGTCTGTTATGGTGTGGGGAGGAATCACCATGACTGGCAGAACGGACTTGCATATTGTTCAAGGAATGGTCATTGGCGTGTACTACCGTGACCGCATCCTGGCACCTATAGTTCTACCCTTTGCTCAACGTGCAGGTCGCGTTGTGAATGACTACCTCCAGCGTCACCATATTGTCCATATGCCTTGGCCAGCCACGAGTCCTGAGCTTTCCCCATAGAGCATGTCTGGGATATATTCGGGAGACGTGTTCGTGGACATCAACGTCAACCCTGCAAGAATTGGCCGTGGTACTTCAAGAGGAGTGTATCAGATTGCCCCAAATCGTGATTGGACGGTTGATTAGGAGCATGCCACGACGAATTGCTGAATGTCTGCGGATTGGTGGAGCAATTACTCATTATTAAGACAAAAATCAAAAACGTCTATTTTCACTTTTGACAGTGTATCTCTTTGCGAGTGAAATGAGGCCGTCAGATAAGCCATCTATATGAACTGTTTATGTTTATGTGTAGGCATTTGGCCTGTTATTAACATACACTGGTTACCTCTAATAAAAACAGCAGTGCATTTCCGCAGTTTTGTATTCTTTCTGAATATCCTCTACTTTTTTTTGAAGAGTATATAACATGTCTTCTTTAAGATACCATATTTCACAGCACTATCTAAAATTCGATGCTAAAAGGATTTAACGGTATAAGTGTTTACAGGCTGCTTAAAGTTATCTTTAGGCTTTTAAAAACTTAATTGTTTGGCAACAACGCTTAAAATGGTCCCTATGAAATTGACACATTATAATCATATATACATTGACTTAGTACTTATGGGTTAAAGGATTAAGACTGACAGAGTAAGAACTTATCAAACATTGAGAATTTTGAACTTAAGTTTTACATTCGATGTTTGAAAGGGTTTTTAAACCAAATGATATAATTGTTTACAAAGTGCTTAAAGTTAGGTTTGGGCATTAAGAAACTAGATTTTTTAAAAATATGATATAAATAACCACTCTTAAAGATACATTAGTTAAGAGTTTTATAAAGAGTTGGCCATTCTTGCTGTAATAATTCGGGGGTTGGTTGGCCGAATGGTTAGCACGCGCGCGCTGTATCATACGGTCTGCCATTGAGTCAACTGGCGGGGTTTCGATTCCCCGGTTTTACGTGACAAGGAGTAGGGTCGCCTGCCCAACCTCGTGGGTTTTTCTCCGGGTCCTCCGGTTTCCTCCCACTACTAAAGACCCCTACGCACAAGCGAATGACTGAAATAAAATTGAACCATGTGTTAGTCCCGAAATGACCTAGTTTGTGTCGAGTGGACGTTAAACCCCATTTCTCTCTCTCTCTCGCTATAATAATTCAAAACCAGATGATAAAAAAAGAAAATGTTGAAAATTTCAGTCAAATTACTTTATTCTGAACGAAGTTGTAACTGTTGGAAGTTTGGACTAGAAATAGGCATCAATTGTGTCTGCACTATCTATGAGAATTGGCGATAGCTTGATTGACAGACGATCACTCCACCCACAAATTCTTGGTTATCATGTAACATGCTCAATGGCTATGGTAGCCTCGCTTGGCAGGCCTTTCATCACCAGTTTCCGATAGTGACATCAGCGACTAACGGTAAACGTTAGCTTGGTCCGCCATTTATTGATTTGATTTTAAATTGACGACTGTTTAAATCCAAGCTGTACCCAGGCCATCTGTGGGTCTGCAGAGTTGATTTTGAGCTTGTCATGTAAATAAAGGTATAATTAATAATTTCTATAACATCTGAAGCCTAAATAAAGACTTGCAATAGGCAGATTTAGCTTTTGCATAATGTATGTTTAAACAACACACTGTGAAATTGTCATATCATTATCATATTACAGATTAACATTGACCCAGTACTCATGGGTTAAACGATCGAAACTAACCGAGTAAGAACTAATCAAATATCGAGAATTATTTAATTCAATTTTCAACGGAAACAAACCTACTGTTACCAATCTATCCGTAGTAGTTAGAATTGATGTCAGAAAAGGGTTTTAAACCAAACGATACAAATGTTTACAAGCTACTTAAAGTTAGATTTAGGCCTTAAGAAACTATTTTTTTTAAAAAATAAATAACTTAATTGGTTTGTAAATACACTTAAAAAGACCTCTATGAAAATTCTCATCATTACAAATAAATATTGACTTAGTACTTACATGGGTTAAACGATTAAAACTAACGAAGTAAGAAAATATATACATATTATATATATAATTTTCATCGGAAACTAATCTACTCTCATCAATCTATTAAGCAACCTATCGGATATAGTTTAAAATATTGGCAGTTGGCATGTCTTTCTTGTTATGTTTCTTGATAGCCTAGAGAATATGACTCTGTCGCCAACTCTACACAATTTAAAACTCTTTCAACTTTTTGTTATTTGGTTGCTGTATTTCAACCCAAAACGCTTGGTATGTTTTCTTGTCGTATAGTACCCCTATCAAAATTCAGAAATTTCCAATCGTAAATTTCTGATCTATATCCCTGTTTACGTTCAAATATATAAACCAGGAACCAACCATGACGTCATGGTTCATATTAAAGTTTGTAAACGCGATGCAGGATATATAATATACAGACTTCTTAAAAGAATTTCTGGATGAATTTCTTAAAACTTGCTCAGCCAGATTTGTTGCCATTTTAGATCCAACCCGAACGATTTTGCTGTTGGTGGATATGACAAGCTTCCTCCCATGTTTCATTCTTAGTAGTTTAATCGATTTTTTTATTCAATAAACCGAGGTTTATCTCCAAACAGGTGTATATTAATTAAAGATGCATTACTCAAGAGATAAACTGCCTCTGTCTTTAGGCCTTAAATGTTATATAAATTATTAATTAAACATTTATTAACACGACAAGACCATAAACAACTCTCTAGGTCATCGGATGGCTCCGAATTTAAGTAGATTAGCACGGTTCGGTCATTTAATGATTTAATTTAAAAATGGAGAAGCGAAGTTACGTCTCGAATAACCAGTACCATGGTTACGATAATAAACAATCACTGCACACATCTTGTCAAAACTAAAAACAGTGATAACTACGCTCAGAATAAAGTAATTTGAATGAAATTTTCAATATATTCATATTGCATTACCTACTTTTGAACTATTATAGCAAGACCCGTCAGCTCTTTATCTAAATCTTACATAATGCATCTTTAATTGTTTGAATGGTTGATCATCTTATGATATCTATTTGTATATTTTAGCTGTATTAGATGTTAAGAATGACTGGTCATCTAATGATACCAACAGTCAGTGGAATTATGATATAACGGGTCGTTCTGGTCAAATATTTGCTGTTATACATTGGAATGAAATTAGCACCAAAACACAGAATATTCAGGAAGGTAAGTTATGCATGTCTTGAGCGAATTGATAAACAAAAATAAATAATCATTTGGCGTCATACTTAATACTTAGTCAAAGTACACTGTTCAAAATAATAGGGTAGTTTACACCCATTCGGGTGGAACACGTTGCCACCTAATTAGGGGTAACTCATAGCCTTTAGTGGTGTAAACTGATAACACCCTTCTAGTGTAGAACATTACACCAATTTGGAAACTAGTTGTCACTTCCAGTAGTGTAACTTGCCTAATACACCACATTCGGATGAGTGTTGCGCTCAGACAGTGTAATGTTCCAGATAAATAGTTAACAACCGTGGGTGTAGATTAAGCATTACCCCTCAAGGAAGTTTTGTAAATTACAATTATTACACCAACGCGGGTGTAATTTGTTCTGTTGGATATGTATTTCAAGCCAATGACTTCTAAGTTCACAAAACTTGAAATTGGCTATAGGTCTCTATGATAATTAGTACAGGGCGTTTAGTCCGACCCAGATTACATATAGACCGTCGGCTACTTCGCTTCATTTTACAATGACATTAAATTGACAAATATCCATCAGACTGATTCAAATTCAACTGCTGTTGGGCAATTAGACAATCAGTATCAATTTACAATGAATATAAATCAAGAGGAAAAATCAATAAACATATCCTTACAACTTGGCTGAAAAATGTGGTTTATTCATTTATGCACCTCACCTGATTAAGATATAGTACTTGGTAATATTTTAAACATTTACACGTCTTTTAGTGTATACAAGCTAAAATAATCTATACTTGAGGCATTATGAACAATTATTCATATTATTATACATGACAATATTCTGGTAGACTTATATTCGTTATGAGTAAACACTTTTAAAAAAAGTTATTCCTGTGTTACTAATGAAATTAACGCCATATTTTACAAAGTAAATTACTTAAATTGGAGTACACAAACACTTTTGTAACACAAGATACGGTGAAAAATTGACACCTTATTCAAAGGAATGTTTCCTAAATAATGCAATAAAACGCTTGTAGACGTGTAGCTCATCCCAAACGCCCCTTAGCGCGCTACAGTTACACCTATCCTAGTGTTCAGTACTCATGAATATCGATTACACTTTTGCAACCCAATAAACGTTGTACAATTAACACTGCTCTAGGATTTATTACCCAATAATAGTGCACACCTTTTGGTGTAAATGCAGTGTAACACCGGTAGTGGTGTAGCTTAATTATCCAAAACACCACACAACTACACCTATTCCGGTGTTCAGTGGTCCTGAATATCGGTTACAATTGTTAGGTGTAGCTCTTTTAGTTGGTTACCCTTGCAAAAGTATTTCATTTTAAAAACGCTAGCTGAGGTGTTTATACTTAATTAACACTGCTTATAGTTTTTAATTACAACCATTTTTAACAGGGCCTGACAAGGACAGCCATCTAGTCGTTCGGATGGTACGAACAACCGAGGTCCCGTGTACACATTGGCGTGCACGTAAAATATCCCTTGGCAGTTGGAATTCGATATAAGAGTAGGCTGTAGCGCCGCTGTCCGGGCACAATTCCCCTCATAGCACACTGTATGGCGTATGCCCGTCTTCATTAGCCCAGTTTAGGAGCAGAACAGTAGGACGTTAAACCCCATTTCATTTCATTTCCATTTCCATTTTTAACCGCGTATACGTAACCATTTCTTGCAATATCTATGTAGTTTGTCTTGGTTGCAGGTTTTATCTTGTCGGTATTGTTTTGCGTGTAGTGTGGTCTTACCGCACGTACGATTAGAAGAGATGAAATGGGTTTAAAGTCATACTTTTCCCCCCACTATCCGATCTAAGGAAGTGTGATATGAGGAATATGTTGCCCTGACAACGGCGCTATGTCCTGCTCTTATTTCAATTCCTAACGTATCTTTAATGTGCTGTTGCAAAGGTATACACCACCTTTCACTCCGTTCAAACGACTAGACTCCTATTTACGTTTTAACCCTATGATCGTAAATTAACACTTGAGGAATGAGTACTGAAATGGGCTCAGTCCATCGTTCAAGATATCTTTATAAAACTTTATACACCCATTAACCTGTTAGAATATTTTTGACTTTTGCTAATTGTAATTTAGGATTTAATCACTTAACAAATTTTTATTCTCGGGTCTATATGACAAACTATTCAGGATACGATACCTATGTACAGACATCAACCGAGTATAGTAGTTGAGACAATAACTAATTTGTAAATTCTCAGATGAATAATTACTATGTTCCATTTGTATCAGGGATCATAATTCGGAAGCGTGGTACTATTTACTATAACTAGTATTTAAATGCTGATTACCAATAATACAGAGATGGTCTATCATGCATCTTCTAAAGCATGTCCAATTACGCGGAATGTTGATGAATGACTCTTCTATTTGCAAGGGGTTACACACAATTTAGAACTGTTATATATATTACCACATTTTCTGGCTAGACCAGAAACGGGAATACTTTATACATGTATTTATACTAATGTTGTTCCTTTGCTTTTCAGTGAAATCAATTTTGAACGAATCCCATGATCTATGGCTATTTACTGCCAGTCTTTGTGAAGAGTCTTTTTTCTTAGATACGATAATACCACGGAACTTCACATATAGCTGTGTGGCTCCTTTCACCAAAGTCGATTTCTCATTGACGGTTGTTCCCTGCTCAAATGCGCAACGGCGTAACCGTAGGGCAGTTGGTGATGATAATGGATTGTTCTGCCTTTATCGTCAGGATGGTTTGAAGAAAATAAAAACGATGGAAGCTATTGTACAGGATTTAAAATGGGATAATTTTATTCTCATTTATGAAACTAAAACAGGTAAGACCATAAAATCGGATAATTTATTACAATATAGGTATCAACTAGAATACCCCATGAATGAAAATTAGTTTTGGAGATAGTTTTGGAGACGTCCGCACCACGATTGGATAAATCATATATTCAGGTATTTTAAAGATACATTATGGGAGATAAGATAAAGAGATGGCAGTTCTCGCTATAATAGTTAAAAACTAGATAGTGTAAAGGTAATTTGCTGAAAATTTCAGTCAAGTTGATCCACTATGAGCCGAGAAAGAAGCGGGTGAAATTTTTGCATAGTCTCGGTCATCATTACTAAAATCATTAATATAAACAGCATAGTCTCGATTATCCACTTTTATTGATTTAATTATCAATAGTAGAGTGACCCACAGTCTCAATTATCTGTACTATATAAACTGACCTGTTTTAACAGCATGTTGTCACGCGGATCAAAACTTCGATTATGAGAAAAGTGCTCTCACGGGCTCGCTTGTGCACTGTAAGCAGCAAACAGTCGCCCAAAATAGACATTCACGTGACAATATTCATTCACTTATTTATCAATGAAGCCATGTAAAAAAATTATTCTTTACTCGTTGGACTTTTAAAAATAAGAAGTTAAGAACTAGATTAAAATTTTGGCTAAAACTCGGCGATTTAATTTCTAAGTTAGTTGATTGTAACCAATGACGTATATATTGTAACGGTTCTCGTTTCAGAGTCAACTCATGTAATTTCGCCCTTTTTCTATCTTTTAAATCCACTCTCGTGGCAACATACCGACACTGCAAGACTGTGAAAGTTACTTTTATTTAACCGTAAAACTCTGTTGTTAGTGGGCGCTTAGTTACTTTAGAAGTTACATTGTTGCTAGCTCTAAATACGCAGAAAAAATTTGAGACTGGAAATTAATTGAACGAAATTATTTTCCCTAGTCTGTTGACTGTTTCATAATTATCATATCATAATTAACGGGCTCGATGACAGTTAGGGGGGTGGGCAGAACCCAAAATGCCCGAAAAAATTTCGGTGTCGGTCTTCCTCGAGAGGCGAAGAAGCGGAGCTTACCTTGTATGCCCCCCCCCCCCGCAAGAAAATTTTGGAATATTTGACGTTTTCCTGCTATTTCAGCCCGTGAACAAGCAACTTCAATGTGGTCTAATATAGCCTAATGACAATGGCTGACTCGAATTCCAATCAAAAGATCAACCGTTGGGGAAAAAAAACTGCCGCAAACGCGTTTTCCTGTTATTCCAGCCTGTGAATACAGCAACTTCAATTCGGTCCAATATAGCCTACCTGGCTGACCCGAATTCCAAACAACCAATCAATCGTCGCGGGGTATGGGGGCCTCACCCTCCCAGAGAAAATTTTGAAAATTTAACCACCGCAAATGCGTTTTCTGCTATCCTAGCCCGTGAAAGCAGCTCCAAAAGTATCCAATGGTTTTGTAACCAAAATCCCATTCTGAATTCCAACCATCCAATCAGACTGTTGCAGTTGCATTCACAAATAATAATCGATGCCAGAAAAATGTCGCACAAAGAATGGCTCCAGACAAAATGTTTTAATCCATAGTCAACTCAGTACAAATTCGTTGTATTCAATTAAAAGAAAAGTGAAATACAGACAGCGGCGCCCGTTTTCTTCGAGAGGCGAAAAAGCGGAGCTGACCTTGTCTGGACCCCCCAAAACATTTTGGAATACTTGACGGCCGCAAGTGCGTTTTAGTGCTATTCCAGCCCGTAAAATTAGTGTTTTATTAGATTTCGGGAATTTTATTTTGCCAAATAGATGAAATATTTTTTTTTTCACTTTACCCGTCTGCCTGAAAATTCAGCTTGCCCGAAAGTTAGGGGGGGAGCTGCCCCCCCCCCCCCTGGCTCGCACGCCTATGATAGTTATTAAAAATATTAAAACGCGACACGATGCGTAAATTGTGCGTCTTACTTTCGAGAACTATAGCTATAAAACAGAAATTTCTAGATTGATACATGTACATAATACGACACAACCAACCATAAGTGGTAATTCAAACACAAAGGATTTATTTAAACTTAAATTTCTCTAACATTTCACTAAAAGATCCCTATTGCAGAACTCCCAACTTATTATGTAGTCATTGTCATGCCGGTTGTTTTTAATAACAGAATTTTCCAGTCATATAACAGATCAAAGAATTTTTCGAGACGCATTGTCACGTATCGACTTCTATTTTTGGATTATCTGGCGCCACACATAGCCCAATCATACCAAAAAGCATGCACTTCCACCTTGAAATGGGTTCAATTGATTTACGGTTTATTCTATAATTTATAACACGGTTTAGAGCACAATGTGTAGGAGTCGCATTTTTGACTTCTAAGTAGATTCTTATACGGAATTCCGGATGCAATGCTAGACATTTGGACCACTGCTGCCGGACCGATTTGAAAATGCTTATATGGCTTTTTTTTCTTTGCGCATGTCGTGTGCTCCTCTGTTTTTGATGTGTATGATTTTTATATTTGTGATAATTATTTGAAACAAAATAGGATTATCATGAAGGATATTTAACATCTACAATATGAGTACGGTAAGCACTCTCTACGTACTGCGTTTGTAAACCACGAAATTCACCCCTTATTAGAAAGTTTCAACTATAGTCTATTATAGTGTTTAAGTGGCATTTAGTAACTGGGCAGATAAATAAACTATAAACATACTTATGGAAAACAGCTACTTATTTATTTAGGCGACGTTTCGAAAACGTTGAGAGAATACTCTTCGAAACGTCGCGTAAATAAATCAGTAGCTGTTTTCCATAAGTATGTTTATAGTTTATATAGTCTATTGCATGTAAACGTTAAAAAAATCAGCTCAAAATACAGACATCTCTCTCTCTCTCTCTCTCTCTCCCTCTCTCTCTCTCTCTCTCTAACTAAGGGCTGCTCACGCGTACAAATGTTAAATTCAATCGTTAATTGTACGTACGTAAAAAAACGAAGAAAGCCGACTGCGGAAAATAAGAATTCGTTTTCCAGAACAAAATTTGAAACTTTGATGTGACCAAGAAACATAACTCTTTTTAATGAAAAAATCTACTGCTGTAACGCTACTTGGGCGATCAAATTTTCCATATAATTAGAAAGTCCCATTCAAATGGCCAAATCACACAAATATCCAACTTAGCAATAGTTTAATTGTTAATGAATGATGATTTTAATGGTAAGTCTTATCATATTTGTTAAAATAAGCCCCAAATATAGCTCGTTTATTTGATTTTTGTTATTTGCACGAACCACTCTATCAATAGCCGTTAGCGGCATATCGGAATCTAATCCAGCCAACATCGAATGCTAGCCTTGACATCGAGAGTTTATTATGGTCTGGATATGTTAATTAATGTCTAATTAATAATTTAGATAACATTTCAAGCCTAAAGAAAGACTTGTAATAAGCAGATTTTGCTCTTGCATAATTCATGTTTAATTAACTTTCGTTTCGTCTTTATGCTCATTTTTTTTAGTATATAAATAAATCGGTAGACGGTGTCTTAACGTGAATAGGTCTTTAGCGGGGGGAGGGGGGCGGAGGACTAGGAGAAAACCCACGAGGTTGGACAGGCGACCCCACTCCTTGTCACGTACAACCGGGCATTCGAAACCATGCCAGTTGACTCAATGACAGGCCCTATGATACAGCGCGCACGGGCTAACCATTCGGCCATCCACTCCCCCTGACTGGAACACCAACGTGTGTTTGTTGGCTGTTTATAGTTCAGACTAAGAAGTCATTTTATGTGAAAATCAACCCGGTAGAATATAAAATACGGATTATAAGACAAAAAAATCCGAAACCGGTATCTCGAAATATAGTCTGCAGTAACAAGGATGCTATATATCTCAGCGAATCCTACCGAACTCAAGCTTTAAACGGACAATCCGTGTATTACATGCCCCCCTTCCATACACACACCCTTTTTGTAAAATAAACATTTTATACTGGATATTGGATATCAATATATATAAATTATGTATCATCATATCATGGCTTCTTACGTCATCAATTATTCTTTTACTCTTAAGAGTTAGCTATAGAATATATGTTATCTTGCATAAGGCATGACTAGCGAATACATAAATATATTAGAAAGTACCCATCAAAATGCACTTTATTTGTTCATGCAGTGAAGAAGTATTTAACGCACGTCTCCATCCAAGTAATATGACAATCATCAAATATAAGTATATGTTTCTTGTTTCAGAACTTAATGTAAAGCCGTTCACAGATATAATAGGTGGTGATCAAATCACTTTAACCTTGTATAATATTGACGAATTTAACAATGATACAGAGCAATATTACAACTTATTTTATAAAATTTATAAAAGTACCGAATATGAAACAAGGAATTTATTGCTGATGTGTTCACAGACTTGTATAAATAGTGTTTTATATCAGGTAAGTTCCTTTGATTTGATTATATGTCGGGGCCTACATAGTTTAATGAACAACATCTGGTGTCTGTCCATTATCATTCCCGTAGCATAACCATTTTATTGGCATTTATTTCAGGGTTGTGAGGAAATTAAATTAAGAGATATTCAGGTGTCATTGGACGAAAGAATAGTATCTTTGATACTTGTGATTCAACGGATCTTGCGGGTTAGATGGCCGAATGGTTAGCATGCGCCGCTGTATCATAAGGTCTGTCATTGAGTCAACTGGCGTGGTTTCGATTCCCCGGTTGTACCTGACAAGGAGTGGGGTCGCCTGTCTAACCTCGTGGGTTTTCTCCGGGTCCTCGAGTTTCCTCCCACTGCTAAAGACCCCTACGCGCAAGCGAATTAACGAAATAAAAATGAACCATATGTTAGTCCCGAAATGACCTAGTTTATGACGAGTGGACGTTAAACCCCATCTCTATCTCTCTCTCTCTCTCTCTCTCTCTCTCTCTCTTTTCTCTCTCTATATCAACAGATCTGGCAGATTGATTTATTCAACCTTCTCTAGTGAAAATGCATAAATCTTTGAAGTTTGACACCACAGCAACACTATGTGGCAACCTGTATCAGTTGTTGATTGTAGATTATATTTTGGTTGTTATGAGTAGATGAAAGGCAAGGCGATTCAAATCTATAAACCATAAGCTTACATACTCTATACAACAAAATGGGAGTTATTGCTTCTTTGATATACATTTATATGTACCCCCCCCCCCCCTCTTTACAAAATAATCTGCTAATGGGTGTATATTCATTATCTGGCTGATAACGCTTTGTTTGCATTTCTTCCTTTTATTTCATTAGGTTGACAAATTTGACGAGAGAAATAGTGGTGCTACAGCGATGGGGGTATTTTCAAAATGGTTGATAACTGATTTTCATGACGCAACAATTCTACCGAATGGATGTCAACTGAAAATGGATAATATTGCTGTAGTGAAATTTCCCGTTACTAATGAGGACGCTCTCTCAAGATTTAGAACTGTAAGTTAAACCAGGCTGGCCACCTCGTCATAAATCTTTTTGTCAATCCAACGTAAGAAATATTCAAATTTTAAACTTGCCATATGTGTAAATACAACCGTTTTACAACATTTGTTCGACTGTACATAGCAAATATTGATGCTATGTCGAACTCGCAAATCACAGATGATGATTTGAATGAAAATATTAATTCGAAGGGGAGGGTTCGCTAATTCTGTCAAAACGAAACGGATCAAAACAGAAACTAATCTACTGCACTAATATTTGTGACTATCGTTTGTTTGTCTGTTTGTTCAGGGTTGGCAGTTACATTAGGGCTGTCCCAAGGCTGCAACTTTGATGTATATGTTTAGCTCGGACCGGGGAGTACTATAGGCCTGGTGGCGATGGTACATCCCTTCCGGTTTCGGAGTTATGCTACTTCCGGTTGATGGCTATACCCGTGCTACGCCGAGTCAACCGTTAGTAACTGATAAAAAACGAAATTGAAAGTGTACTACAGTCATTTTACAAATGAACATTATGTCATGCACAGCGGACCTACCGAAATTATTTAATGTTGCAGTGTTATTGCCCCGGTCATAGAAACCCTTTAAATGCTCGACAGGCTGTGAGTTAGAGTTACTTCTCCAAAAACCTTCCCCACAAGTTACTGACCAGCTGTTTGTTCTCTTCCTCCATATCATGGACGCTGGTGGCTTTATTAGTTATTTATAGTGACAAACCCAGCTAATAGGATACTCCCAAATAAAATATCACGATTTCGATTCTTATAATTTACAATTTCAATCTTTTATCACCAGGTATTTGTAAACAGTATAAAAACTAGCATCAGTAATTTTATTGATATCGAGTTAGCTTCTCTTGGCACAACAACAGGCAGTGGTACTAAAACATTACCTGCTTTAGTTTATGATGTTCTGATAAAGGTAAGACGTATTTAGTAACTCACAATAACGCTTCCAATCCCACCCGAACTTGATCAGGCATTTATACATATTTTTCATTAATCTTGTGATTTTATACAATATATATATAATTTCGACAACCAACTGTATACTCAAATATACGGTGTAACTATGCGAGAGAGAGTGAGAGAGAGAGAGAGAGAGAGAGAAAGAGAGAGTGTTTAACGTCATTTTTCAGTTTTATTTCAATAATTCGCTTGTGCGTAGGGGTCTTTAGCAGTGGGAGGAAACCAGAGGACCCGGAGAAAACCCTACTCCTTGTCACGTACAACCGGGGAATCGAAACCACGCCAGTTGAGTCAATGACAGACCTTATGATACAGCGCGCACGTGCTAAACATTCGGCCATCCAACTCCCCCCCCCCCACCGCAACTTATGCTACCCTCACACCTGGATATTTAGAAGAGATCTGGGTCCGTATTCAAAGGATATCTTAAGTCTAAGATAGTCACTTAACTACTAGATTTCACTTAAATGTACGTAACTTCCTGTGGTATTCAAAGGCAGAGTTAAATTTTTACTTAAAGTTACGCTGCCTTAACTTATAAGTGTTTAGTCCTTTAGTGATATTCAGAGGCCAGTTTAAGTGAGAAAAATCCACTTAACTTTAAGTGACCAATGGGATTTACCTTAAAGTTAAGTGAGATTATAATGACTTCTTTTAACCGGAGTACACAATATAGTAGCAGGCCCGTAATGGCGATTTTAAAAGAGAATTGGCATCAAACGATTTTTTCTTGTTTTTTATTTCATCATCAGCTTTGATTTTGTAGAGCCATAATAGTGTATAAGGTTACTACCACCGACATGGACATGTTCGTATTGTTTAATCAATCATGTTTGCCACGACTGTCATATAATAAAGTTTGATGCGTTAAATTTATTTGTAAATTTGACATTGCGATGACATTCCATTGTAAGGCACTTGGTTAAGTGGAAAATTTAAGTATTTTTACTTAACTTTAAGAAAACCTTTGAATACGGACCCCGGTATACAACAAAGATGGATGAGATTGTTTCGTAATTTGTCTGCATTGGCCGAGAAAGTTCATCCAGATTTACCGACGTGGTTTCCCCTTGTCAGTGGTGCAGAACGGAGTGCCTGACAAGGACAGCTGTCTAGTCCTTCGGATGAGACGAAAACCCGAGGTCCCGTGTATATATTGGAATGCACCTAAAAGATCCCCTGGCAGTTGGAATTCGATATAAGAGTAGGCGATAGTGCCGCTGCCCGGCAAAATTTCCCTCATAGCACACTATTTAGCGTATGCCCGTCTTCATTAGCCCAGTATAGGAGCAGAACAGTAGGACGTTAAACCCCATTTCATTTCATTTCATTTCGTAATTTGTCTTTTTATTCCAGGATCTAACAACGTATAGCGATTGTTGGAGAGCAGAAATATATACATTATTATATAAAACAGAAGGACGATTGTTAAGTCCAGTTGGTCATGTTAATTATACAGAAAACGTTAATCTATCTCCTAATGTTATTATTTTTCCTAATACAAAGTATGGATTTAATCAAAGAGTCTTTAGAACAACAACTAATAGTGTAAGTAGACTTTCGGCAAAACCTAATATTTTACGTTATTCAAGTTGGGTAGGCAGGGACGTGGTATGACTCTGTAGTTAGTCGAAGTTCTCATTTACTTGTTCCAAACCAATGTTTTTGTTAGCTATAAGTAGAACCATATATAACAAGAGTCTGTTCATTTGTTGTGATTAGCTAACCAGTAATAGCTTTGTGTGGCTAATCTTAGTACATATTCTACACAATCCATCTGGTTCATTATATTTTATGCAGAACTACCATTCCGTTCTTTGCCACTAACACTTAATTTTTTACATTTCTTTTGTTTTAATTTTGATTTATTAAACTTACAAAATTGGTTACGGTAACAAAATGGCGACCATGGCCACAATGGGTCTGGCTCTTTAATGGGTCTGACTTGCTTTAATGGTTCCAGCTGTAATTTGGGTGGGGGGTATTAGCAGAACCCCAATACCATTTATTATTTAAGGAATTCAGATAGCTAGCAAACGTTTGTTTTAATTTTGTATTCGACACGTTATTCCGTTTGTCCAAAATTAAAACCAATTGCTATCAAGTGCAAATTTAACAATTATGAAGATACAAAAACAAGAGTAACTACACATTACACTTATACTTATTCAGTGGCAACAGTTTAATATGAGGGATATTCTAATGATTATACTTCATTCATGCTTTAATTTATAACGCTGTAAAACAGAATGCACCTGGCTTAAGAGAAGTTTATAATTCATTGTCTTAATTTATATATTTCTAGTGGCAACCGTTCTCGAAACGTTTGCCAAAGGTGAACGGAACAGTACAGTATGAGGGCTATTCTTATGATATCATGAAGGTTCTTCAAAATTCTCTAAATTTTAGGTAAATATCTTTAGTTTCATGAATGGTCTTCTGTTTCTAGAATGGTTCAAATAGTTTCATAAATTGTACAAACGTTCTCCGAAACATGGAAAACGAAGTAATCAAAATAATGTAATATTAACCTTGACTATTAGATAGGGGGCATGATATGAACGAGCATCTGATAAATTTTCTATATTTTCTATATTTTCATTGATTAATTAAGTTTGACAATAATTGAACCAGAAGATGGGGAATGGGGAAGAGTTCTGAATGGATCATGGACTGGCAATGTCGGACAACTTCACAGACGGGTATGGTTATATTTACAGTTTTTTGGGGTTTTTTTTAAAATAAAACATAGACTAACTTTTGCTAGTTCTAATTCTGCTGTGCCCACAAATTTGGCTGTTCTGTAACCGGTGTGACGCTTAATCAAATTTGTTCAAATGAAGATGGCTAGCCCCTTAGTTGCAAGTCCAGGCGCAGGTTAATGTTGACATTTAGACCGTTTCACACATTTCCGACTCAGTTAACCCCCTTGTGAAACACACTGGGGATGCTCAATTCACAGTCCAGAACGTCCCGAATTGACAGAATTGCAATCGAGTGACGCGGAATTCAGTCCTGTCCCAGTTCTGTCAGTCCCGACTACGGAGGTGGTGTGAGTAAAATCATGACGTAATTAAACACAACAACCATGTTTCGGCTGCATGGTTGGTTGAGATGTTTACTTATCCATTCGACGCATGCGTTGTAGCCCGAAATACCCCTTTTCACTCGATTGTCACAATTTTTGGGATTAAGAGAATTCAATTCTGGAACGTCAATCTAGTACCCCCTAGATAACTATTTCTCTAATATTTAATAGCAACGTTTCGTAGAACGTATACAGGTCTTATTATGTGGCTTTTTCAAAGCTCGGTTTAGCTGTCTAGCTGTACAAGAAGACAATTCTATGACTGATTATTGACATTGAATTTTGGAGTTATGTCCCTTTTTAAACACTAACCTCTCCAATACAAACGAAAAAATAAACAAAATGGGTTGTATATAACATCATACTGGGCCAATGAAGACGGGCGTATGCCATACAGTGTGATATGAGAGAGATTTTGCCAGGAAAGCGACACTACTGCCTACTCTTATATCCAATTCCAACTGTCAAGGGATCTTTTATCCTCACGCCAATGTGTACACGGGACATCATTTTTCGTCCCATCCGAACAACAATACGCTTACCGATGTCAGACCATACGCCCTGAACTGTGTCGGCCAACATTCGATTAGCGAGCCAATGTCTTACTCAATGAGCCACTGCGACTCAACTACCAATACAAAAGTACAACAAATGTTGTTGGCTTCACCTTTGTAGTTATTCCCCTTTGCTACAGCACCTTATTAAGTCCTGTTATCCATCAATTTTAATACCCCATGCCGTACACAATAATATTGAGCAAAGGACATATTTCGTTACATGGCAACCTATGGCTTATACTATGTTTATTTCAGTTGTTTTTCTTGTGCAATTTACGTCAATTACTTTATTACAGGAAGTTGACCTGTTTGTAGGACCTTTAGCCATGTCTGCAGAGCGTGAGCAAGCTATAGATTTTGTCTATCCGTATTTCCTTGCTTATACAGCAGTGGTTTTCCGACTGCCTGATCCAAACAAAAACAAATGGAGGAAACTCGTTGAACCGTATCAATGGGAAGTTCATGTTTGTTTATTTTCATCTTTTTGTGGAACTATTTTACTTCTCTACACAATAGAAAGCCTCAATCCTTTCTACCTTAATTCGAAAAAACCCAGACCAACATTTCAAGGAATCGTGCTTTATCTATTTGGTGCCATGTTATTTCAAGGTAACTATCCATTCTATTACCAATCTTCATTAGCCCGGTATAGGAGCAGAACAGTAGGACGTTAAACCCCATTTCATTTCATTTCATTTCATTTCTATTACCAATGGCATCGTTTATATTATCAACCACAAAGGGAACGTAAGGTGCTAGATTACTAACCCGGAAGTATTTGCTTCGATTCCGTGTTTACGTTGGCGTGCACGCAATAGAACCATTGACATCGACATGAAATGAAATGGGGTTTAATGTCCTACCCTTTGTTTAACCGATTGGGTTACTGAATACGGGCATACGCCCTGCATGGTGTTATGGGGGAAATTTTGCCAGAACAGCGGCCTCTTATTTCGAATTCCAACTGTCATTTGGTTTTTTTTACGTGCATGTCAAGGTGTACACCGTACTTCGGTTTATCTCTCGAGTAGGCATTATGCTTACCAGGACCTCCGTCCTGCATTACTGACACGGAGGAATCACACCAGAAAATCCCAAAGACTTCCGGGTTAGCGAACCAGCGCTTTATTGACAGAGCCTCCCCTGTTACAGATGCTATATTTGAATACCATTCTCTCATAGCACACTATCTTCATTAGCCCGGTTGGAGTAGAAAAGTAAGACGTTTCATACATTCATTCATCCAGTCGCCATTCATATATTTCGGTGCTGCATTTCTACCCGTTATCCAAACTGACTCGGTTCCTGGCAATGTGAAACTTGTCTCATAAATTATTTAAAATATAGTCACTATCATCCAGTGAGTCTGAACGGCAGTAATCAAAGTCTTTATTTGTAGTACTGGTTCTTAAAATCATTAATAATTATTTTAGGAGGAAATGTGATGCCATCATCTAGTTCTGGACGAGCATTATTAGCAGCTTGGTGGATATTTTGTTTAATATCAGTAGCTACCTACAGTGGTAATCTTATAGCATTCCTTACTGTATCTAAAGAAAAACTTCCCTTCGAGACATTGACCGAACTCGGGACACAAGATGAATACAAATGGGGAACATTGGAAGGCAGTGTCTGGGTATCCTTATTACAAGTTAGTTTTATTTTCTATTTCATTAGATCTAGTGGTTTATCTCTATATTGGGGTTCTGAAAAGATCCATAACTTAAGGGAAAGTCGGTGTGTTTACTATATGTACGTGCACGTAAACGATCCATTTACAACCTACAAAGAATTGTATATCCTCGGTAGTGGCAACATCCTACAACTACGACTTGCACTGTCAATCATAGATAAGATTCGGGTTGACATATACGGGCCTCATATGAATTCTGAAAATGTTATGATCTAATTTATTAAATTTGCCCTTTCTTTACTCTAAACATCGTATCTGAAGGCAGGTTTGTGTGTGTCAGGGGGTGGGCCATCATTAACTAAGTATGTTTTTACATGTATATTACGTCCAATTGCATTTCATATTTATCTTTTTCTGGGACTATAAAATTTGCCCTATTAAATTTGCCCTTTCTTTACTCTAAACATCGTATCTGAAGGCAGGTTTGTGTGTGTCAGTGGGTGGGCCATCATTAACTAAGTATGTTTTTACATGTATATTACGTCCAATCGCATTTCATATTTATCTTTTTCTGGGACTACACAGAGAAACCTACTCGAAACGCCCCCATTATAAACAGTAATTATTTCACACGATTCCATGGAATTGTTAGCTGTGTATTTTAAAGGAGCTAAATCGCTAACATTTGGGACCTAGAAATTGACAAAAGTGGGTCGCAACGCATATAATACTGTAATATGAATGTATATAAACTGATTTACATTCAATGGTTTCCGTTTTTACTTCAATTTCAAATCAGTTATGTTCGGCGAAATAAGCCAGCAGTCTCAAGCGAGTGCAAATTTCTAGCGTCTGGTTATTCCAGTCTACATACGCCGTTTGATTTGGTGCAATGTGTCTAGCCTCGTCCCTCGAGTCTCTTGATACAACTGGGGCTGAAGCGCATTATTTTGTCTTAAATATTGGATATCAAAAGCCCATCTTTTTCCGGTAAGATCACAACATGAATTTTGATTTAATTTGACAAATAAAACGTGTTTTCAATGTTGAAGATTTTGGATGATACTTTAAGTTCAATAAAAATGCCATTGAAATAATTAAATACGCCTAAACCCATTTCTTTTGTTTTATATTTTTATAGAATTCCAACCTATCGGATTATAAACGCCTATGGCAAGGTATTTTAAAATTCAACAAAACCGATCCCGACGTTCTACATTTAGATCAAGACCTTCAGAGACATAAGGTTATTACAGAAAACTATGGTTACATTGCAGATAAAACGACAGCAGAGACTTGGGTTTTCCAATCTTGTGATTTGACTTACTTGAAAGAACTTTTCTTTCCCATGAACTATGCATTCGGATTACAAAGTAATTCTCCATATTTGCAGTATTTCTCAGATGAGTACGTTTAAATGGTTTTTTTTTCCAATAAACTATGCATTCGGATTACAAATTAAATCTCCGTATTTGCCCTATTTCTCATATTATGAGTAAGTCTTATTGTTTTTTCCCCATGTACTATGCATTTGGATTAGAAAGTAATTCTCGGTATCTGCAGTATAAGTAAGTTTATTCATGTCTTATACAAATTTATATACATTTTACACTGCTGTACCAAGCTATCAGGGTCGATCCACGAAGTTCATGATACATGAAATCCTTCTTTTTCCCCCGTATTGCTTATCACTTTCTGTTTATTTTATGTTCTAAAATTGATGAAATGTCGATTTCGTTTGATGTTATTTCAGATGTCTGGTTTTAGATCACGGCTACTAATTGACCAATATGTAGTGCTGTTTGGGGTTATGTTATCGCAGGCAGGTGTGGCAAATGAAACCCAAGGTAGACTAAAATAGGGGTCTCCGCGCAACAAATCGAGCATTGCATACCCAATAAAACCATTCCCTGTCCTTCTTTAATGTATCAGACGTTCAAGTTCGGCAATACCTTAATAAAATACTGATCATTAATCTATAATAAATACAAAAATTTATATTAACTCTGCTTTGTTTCAGAATGATGAAAATTTTGGAAAGCGGGTTAGCTCAAATATTGAAACGAAAATGGTGGCCTAAACCAGGAACGTGTATGGATGATTCAAATTCTGTTCAGACTGTAGAACTAATTGATATTCAGAGTGCTTTCTATGTAATTCTAATTGGGATGACTTTGGCATGTTTGACCATTCTTGTCGAGAGCTTTTTTACGAAGAATGGTCCACATATTTATTTACGATTTGAAGGACTGAGAAAGTTCTTCAATAGACATTAAAGTGGTGTAATAATATAAAGTAACGAATGCTTCCGTGGATTCAGAAAATTAAGAAACGCCTACGAATAGATACACATAGATATATACATATTTTCAACCGTGAAATAGACTTTAACGGTCATGCACAGCATTGCATGCAAAAACATACAAAAAGAAAACTTTTGTAGCACAGATATTGTATATGGCTTCCGTCACTGAATAAAATTAACGACCTTAAAATAATTAAGCTAATAGAGGATAAACAAGAGCAAACAAAGCCTTTCAAACCTCGGTATCTCTGTTTTTTAGTGGTCGGATTTAATAATATTTGGCCGAATTTAATATATAGAACAGCCCCTTTGTGCTTGTTTTCGTCAGCGATAGCAAGTAGCAATGAAAAATAGTTGGAGGTCATGATTTTCATGTATTTTAAGTCCACCTATAAATGGATTTAACTTACGAAATACAATGATATACTAGTAGCGCTACGTAATGTAAAAATATATAATTGTATCCAAAATATTATTAAATTCAAAACGGGGCGTGGCACTTAGGCATTTTCATGGTGCTCTAAAAAGGGCGTGTGGCGATTACATTAGGGAACGAGAGAGGTAGGGTTTAACGTCCACTCGACCCAGAATAGGTCATTTCGGGACTAACATATGGTTCAGTTTTATTTCAATGATAGGCTTGTGCGTAGTGGTCTTTAGCAGCGGTAGGAAACCGGAAGACACAAAACACCCACGAGTTTGTACAGGCGACCCAACTTACTGTCATCAGGTACAAGCTGGTAATTGAAAGTATGCCCCTTTACTCAATGAGTGAGAGAGAGAGAGAGAGAGGTGTTAACGCCCCTTCTACACAAACTAGGTCATTTAATTTCAACAGTTCGCTTGTGCGTAGGGATCTTTAGCTGTGGGAGGAAACTGAGGGAGACCCAACTCCTTGCCAGGCAGAGTCAGAAATCGCAACTACGCCACTTGACTCAATGACAGACCTTATGAATGGCCTGCAACACGGGGTTCCAATATAAAAGGGCACTCCAAATTAGTTCTCGAAAATATTTTGTACCTTAAATAAATGTAATTTATGGTAATTTATTATGTTGTATGTGTTTGTTGAGTATATCTGTCGATTTACCATTCTGACATATAAATTGCATTTTGTGTGCTTGTGACGGCCAATGATTAACCTCCTTGATGCAAGGATCCCACTGACATTTTCAACCAGAGGCCCCCATGCAAGCTTAATCCGAACCTGCTGTTAATACACTATAAAAGAAGCGAGAATTCATAGTTTTATTCATAGTGTTTATTCATTCGGTGAAATCACTCGTGTGATAAACATTTAATTTATTGCGAATACGATACAGTTATTAAGTTTCACTGTACACTACACTCATACAATGGCGAATATGTAGGCGAATAGACTTATGAATACAAGAATATTCTCATTGCTTTATCAACACTTTCGTGTAAGGCCTACTATCATTATCATTTTGAACGCGGGTACAAGTTTTAAGCTCACTGTTTTGCTACAGCTTAGTAAATAATATAATCGCAAAATTGTCTTCTCGTAATCAGAGCCAGCGACAGGGTCTCGACGTGGGGTGGGTTTAGGCGGGTGTGGGGTGGGGCTCTTCCCCCGGGCTAGAATTTTTTTTTGAAAAATACATGATCTCTAGCGCCATTTTGGCGTATATCAGGGGTGACTGGAGGTCACTTCAGCAATTGAGATTTAACATAGCTAAGTTTCTAACTCGAGGGTCTTCAACATTGAAAACACGAATTATTTGTCAATTTAAATCAATATTGCTGCTGTGACCTTACAGTGAAAAGATGGCCTTCTGATATCCAATATCAAAGATAAAATAAATATTTTACCTTTGGTACACGAATTGTGTACCATAATGCGTTTCAGCGCCATTTGTAACAAGGCACTTGAAGAACGAGGCTAGACATATTCCACAAGTCATGTCAAACGGTGACGCCGTATTCTTATCTAGAGGGCATGCGCAACAAATACCTACGATGTACACTGGAATACCCAGACGCTAGAGATTGCCATTCGATTGAGACTTCTGACGTATTTCGCCGAAAATAACTGATTAGAAATTATAGTAAAAACAAACGATTGAATGTAAATTTTTATACATTCATATTACACTATTATATGCGTTTCGACCCATTTGTGTCAATATCTAGGTCCCAAATATTAGCGATTTAGCCCCTTTAAAGCCCGGCCCATACCGCCACGACTTGGCCAGACTCTACCCAACGCAACGTCTTGTCTCAGATAATCAATGCAGTGTGGACAGTCCCACGACCCGTCGGCCCGATTGAACATGTTCAATCGTAGTCGGATGCAGTTGGTTGCAGTCGTAACTTATCGTGTTTGTGTGGACACCCACACGACGCGATCAATTGTCTTACTGATGTTTAGCCAATCAGAGAGTAGCATTTAGTCATGTGACTGTGCAGGTCATGTGCTCCTTGTTTAACGCATAATCTGTGAGAGTCGGGCCTGTGTGGAGTGGTACCGTCGTAGGCAAGTGAAGTAAAGGCGCGATCCGATTTTTTTTTACAACTACCCAAGACGCTGAGTCCTGTCGGTTTGTGTGTAGTAGCGGTATGGGCCGGGCTTTACTCAACCAGGGCTCACACTGGCTTTCGGTTTTTTTCCTCCAAAATTGATGATAATTTTTAAGATCAGATTTTATTTTTAGTGACTTGAGTCTATTTGAACATCCGTACTGCACAATATATTTTAAGTATTTACACGTCAAATCTCATCAGAAGATTGCCAATTTGTGTTGCGTGCACAATGGGCCTATTGTTATTTTCAGGTACCATAAAGGTATCAGAATCTGATTCCTTGATAGAATGGTATAAATTTCAATTATATTTGTTAAGACATGCTTACAATATACCCGTCGTTAACTTTTAGAGCATTTGGCGACGGTACAATGATACAAATGGCGAACTGTTTTCTCGCTCAAGAATCGTCACTATTCAACTCGTTCTTAGGTTTTCGACCAGTGGTGATATTATAATTTGAAATAATGATATCCGATAGACATGCTTGTATTTTTACATGACGTATATGAAGCCACTGTAAGCGAATTCAGCTATCTAAATATTTAATTCTCTTCTCAAGGAACTGTCGGCCATTTTGATTACATGTATACTATTCAAAAAAAGTAGGGGATATTTGATTTTTAAGTGTTATTAAAGTCACCTAATGAAACTGACGAAGAAACAAATGACAAAATGAAATGAAGTTCACATTCATCGATTTATTCCAAATGATCGTTAGACTAAGTAAGGCACAGACTGACCATTATAAGGGTAAAATGATACCCGGGGTCAAACAGCAACGTTACCACAGCATCACAACCAAGTCAGTAACGGGTAAATCCTCCTCTGTTTGCCAAACAAGCATTGATCCGACGTGGCATACTCCTAATGAGACGTCTAAGGTCATTTTGGTCCAGATTGTCCCATTCCTGTTGCAACGCAGCAGCAAGTTCTTGGACATTGGCAGGACGTTGTTGACGTTGACGTAACCTCTGTCCAAGCATGTCCCAGACATGCTCGATGGGGGAGAGGTCGGGACTCAGTGCTGGCCAAGGTAATGTGGTGATGTTCTGTTGTTGGAGGTAACCTGTAACGATCCTGGCCCTGTGACATCTTGCGTTGTCATCCTGGAAGATGAAACGGCGGCCATGACGTCGTGCGAACGGCACAACATGGACTGCCAAGATGTTGTCCCGGTAGTACTGGCCTGTAACACGCCCTGCAACAACATGTAAAGCCGTTCTTCCAGCAACAGTGATGCCTCCCCACACCATAACAGAACCACCCCCAAATCGATCATGTCTGATGACGTTAACGTCTTGGAAGCGCTCGTTTCGACGACGCCACACCCTCCTACGTCTGTCCAAAAAATCAACAGTGAACCTTGACTCATCTGAAAACATCACATTGCTCCAGCGTCGATTATCCCAGTGTTGACGATCCCTACAACAACGACGTCTTGCCTGAATGTGATGATCTCTCAAACAAGGGATCACGCGAGGACGTCGGGCGCGAAGGTGACCCCTATGCAGTCGATTCCGAATCGTCTGGCCACTCACTCTCACACCAGTGTCTGTTTGAAGACGAGCGCTGATCTGATTTGCTGTGATGACACGATTTCTCAAGGCCAAGATACGGATAAATCGATCCTGGGCTTGAGTTGTCGCCCTTGGTCGACCTGAGCGTGGTCTGTCCTGTACAGATTGTGTATCACGGTATCTGGACCATAGCCTGCTTATGACAGACTGAGAAACATTCATCGTCCGCGCCACAATCGCCTGTGTTGTGCCGATCTGTAGCATGCCAAGGGCACGTAACCTTTCATTTTGGGTAAGCCGACGCATATCAATTTTTTTTTTCTGGTCACTAAAACAATTAAACTGATGTTTCCACCCTGGAATTCAATGCCACAATGACTGTAACATTCAAAGTCAGAGTCGTGCAAATCTTGGGTTGGACCCCCATGATGATCCCAAGCATCACCTGCATTCCATGCGGTAGCTATTGGTGCGTTTGGGCGTCACATGTAACTGGAAATGTTTCTTCTGTTAGGTTCTATAGTGACTTTTTTCGTAGTCATTTGCATATTTTAGTATTATGCCCCTAAAATCAAATATCCCCTACTTTTTTGGAATAGTATATTATCATTTTTTAAGACGAAACGAAACATCAAATAATCACCACTTGGATTAATCATTAGGAGTAAATAGTGACTTGAGATAAGGTTATATCATTGGCAATTATCAATCAACTAATCATTAATCCAAGATAACTGATTAGTATTACTCATTGACGCGATCCGGATTATCGGCCAGTTGATTAATTTATAATATCCCGTCACGTGATTGACATTCAATAATGATTAATCCAGGATAAATACGATTAGAATCGCCAGTACAGCAAAACATTATCGCCAAAAATCAAATTTTAATCGCCATTTTCATATTTTTATCGCAAATTGCGACTTAGGCGACCGACAGTGTGAACAACATATGACATACCAAATACATTACGTTTTAGTTTTACTGATGTAAAAATAATCAACAAATGGAAAAAATAAAAACCTTGAGCATCTGGCTCCAAAATATCAAAAATAAATTTTTTCATAACATAATCTATTTGTGTATTCTTTTCAACACCCAAAATCATGTTGAACTGGGTTAAAACGGAAGGAGGCTCGGATACCCTGACGGTGACGAGAGCCTCAAACGGAATGAGGACGGACCTAGCGTCACGGCGCGACGGCCCGGGCTGATGGCTTATCGTTTATAATATAGCAATTTTTCCAAAGAAAGTGGGCTGACAAAATCCGATTCTAATCCTCGACCCACGCCACTTACCCACATTCAGAACAGTCACCGGTTTTCTTTTACTTAGTTTACGATCAAATAACAATATATTTTAATTTTATTAATTTACCAACAATTATTTTCTAAAAACATTACTCGGCATACATTTGGGCCCCTCTAGGCTCCGGGCGTCTGGGAAAGTGTCCCAGCTCCCCCCCCCCCACTATGAGCCCTGCTCGTAGTTAACATAAATGAATATTCTAAATTTAATCTTTTATGTAAACAAACTCATAAGCTAAGCAGTGGTGAGATTAGAGAATATGATATTTCTTGAAAACGAGACAGCCACCTAGGCCTAGGCGGTCCAATGGTCCAATGGTCGTTCATTTGTGGGGCTTAACGTCCACTTCCACCTTGGGTGATATCGCAGACAAAAATTCGGGTGATAATTCAGTAACACTATAAGTCAGTTAAAATGTAACTATTATGATGCGTCTATGCAGATTCGCTACAATGATTTGAATGTAAACTATCTATAAATAGTTCATAACTAATTTTATCGAAGGTCTTATTAAATTTAGGTCAATGTTGTCGCCAACAACAGGTTTTATTTATTTATTTTTTTTATATCAACAGCGGTTGTCAACAGTTGATATCTAGTTTCTTCAGCTGTATTGAACGATATGTTAAAACTGACGCGTGTGGGGCATGTATTGAACTCTCGCATAAGTGGCAATATCAATAGAAATTCAAGCGCATTCTACTGTTTTAATTAATATAAATAGAGTCTATCCATTCACAATATCTCGAATAGTGGTTATAAGAAAGATTTGCTGTAATACGGAGTCGGATTGAATTGACGATAAAATGGCTTTAAAATTCATCTCTATTCTGCTTATAATGTCTCAAAGACCCGACGGTAAGTTTACCTAAATCTAATTTGTTGTTTTACATAATAACAAAGAATAGTTGATTTTCTAGTTAATTTCCTTGAATCGTAATGATCTAGTATGCGCTTTATTAATATAGGGCGGCCGATTACTGCCCCAAACATAAACCAGGTTATGGCAAATAATAATATAATACAGATCGATGGATGTAGGTATTACACCACGAAGAGGTATTAGAAATGAAATGAAATGGGGTTTAACGTCCTACTGTTCTGCTCCGAACTGGGCTAATGAAGACGGGCATACGCCATACAGTGTGCTATGAGGGAAATTTTGCCCGGACAGCGGCACTACGGCCTTCTCTTATATCGAATTCCAACTGTCAAGGGATCTTTTACGTGTACGCCAATTTGTACACGGGACCTCGGTTTTTCGTCCCATCCGAACGACTAGAAAGCTGTCCTTGTCAGGCCCTCCGTCCTGCATCACTGACAAGGGGGAACCACGCCGGAAAATCTGGATGAACTTTCTCGACCAATGCAGGGATCGAACACCCGACCTCCAGGCTAGCGAGCCAGCGTCTTACCCACTTAGCCAAGAGGTATTAGAGGATTCCCACCCATTCTGGAATGTAGGGCATTTTATTAAATACTCATGGCAACCATAGCAATATAATACAGATCTATTTCTATGTGGCAACTAAGGAAATTGATTGAAGCTTCACTACCACTGTGTCATCGTATTAATTCTATTTAATGATTGATTTTAGAATCTGGCCTTAAGGGTATAATTGTAATTGTAATTCTAAGCCTCTATTGGAATGTGAATATGAATACTGTTATACTCCGTTGTCATGTGTGTAAATATTGTGTAAAATCGATGTCAACGTTCCTTGAATCATTTGTATTATGTTGTGTAACATCGATGTCAACGTTCATTGAATCATTTGGGAAATTTCAAAGTCTCCCATTAAGGCCTGAAAGTTATCGAGGTATATGTATCCATATCTAAACAAAACTGCTCTCTGCACACCTCCATCCCCACCCCTGCCCCCACCCTCTCCACCCAACCAACGCGAAATTGACCGGAATCACATGGTTTCATAAATTACACTACTACCCCAGGATACATTGAATATTTAATTATCTATCTTTAAAATACAGACGTGACGTTATCCTTTGATGTTGGAGTACCATTATTTCAAATAATGTACGGGCAACTTGCCAATCGTACATTATTTATACAAGATGAAATTTTAGACTCGCGTGACCTATTTCACTGCAATTTTCTTTAAGTGTCGTTTAATGGTCTCGAGCTGAAGACATTGTATAATATATAACGCCCCTCTACCGCGAGTTTTACAACATCTAGACGTTGCTTACTACTGAAGATTACGCAACCCGTGCTTTATCAATATATTACTCGACCATTGAACCACACTTAAAGAAAATGTAAGTATTTATCAAAAAATTCAAATAAGGTAATACTGCCTGCAGCACAGACTAGGTCAATCAAATAAGTTTACCTGGCCGGGTTCTAATTCAGAAGTTATCAGTCATAACGGTATAACGGTCATAAAAAAGCGTCTATATTCAATCATGATAAGCCTAGAGAATCATGTACTATCAATATGAGCTTATGTAAATATTGTTATCATTTCAACAGTTGTGAATTTAAAACAACTGCTAACGAAAAAGGTAAGTGTTATAATTAGAAATGTAACTGGCTTGTATAGATACCTATTTAATACAGACTATAATACACTTTAATGCGCCGTTTTTTCGCTTCGATGAAAAAGTCTATATTCTGCTTTCACATGTAGGTTAATCGCTTCGGTGACTTAAAAAGCACACACCAAGGTGTAAGAATATCATTGGTTGACATTTCTCCAAAGGTACGGAAGCGTAACAGGGCCACATATTTTTTTATTATTCTATTTTCAATTTTTCAAGTTACTAACTTGAATTTTCAAGATATTAACTTGAATTTTCAAGATACTAACTTGAATTTTCAAGTTACTAACTTGAATTTTCAAGTTAGCTAACTTGAATTTTCAAGTTAGCTAACTTGAATTTTCAAGTTACTAATTTGAATTTTCAAGTTACTAACTTGAATTTTCAAGTTATTAACTTGAATTTTCAAGTTATTAACTTGAATTTTCAAGATACTAAATTGGACAATTCCACTCTCGCTGGTTCAAAAAAGGCCTTATTCTAAGTTCTAAATGTGTTAGTTCTGCGTTTAGTTTAAATCATCTCATTAAATTCTATTTTACTAGTCTAACAGTTTTGATGGTGGTCGGGTGGTCGGTCTGTCATCAATGGGGTCGAGGTACGAATCCCGTTCTCGCCGACCTCAATGACAAGGTGCGGGAGTAGCCTATTCGATCACGCAGGTCTTGAATTTTCAAGATACTAAATTGGACAATTCCACTCTTGAATAAAATTCAAGTTAGTATCTTGAAAATTCAAGTTAGTATCTTGAAAATTCAAGTTAGTAACTTAAAAATTCAAGTTAGTAACTTGAAAAATTGAAAATAGAATAATAAAAAAAATATGTGGCCCTATTACGCTTCCGTACTAAGGTGTTATGCTGAAGTTTTGCAACATTTAAAGGACAATTCAGCCATTATAACTCATGTTTCCTTTTGTTTTCGTCACTTCCGTTTCTTGAAATCTTCATTACGCACCTATCGTAGCAATGATCTCTATGTTAAAATTATATTTGGAACGTGTTTAACCAGTTCTATCACATATGTGATAATGACTGACACCAATATTATCCTTTAATACACTTCTTGTCCAACCGTAACTGTTATATACTCGTTCTAAGCTCCAATATACCAGTAGAACAGATATTTAGTCTAACGTTCGGGATGTAGGGACTGGAAAGGGCAGTTGTGAAGTCGTTCGGATGGGACGAAAAACGAGGTCCCGTGTACACAAGGGTAGGCCGTCGCGCCACCACTGTCCGGTCAAAATTTCCTTCAAAACACACTGTATGTCGTATGTCCGCCTTCATTAACAGTAGGACGTTAAAACCCATTTCATTCCATTTCGTTATTTAGTCTAACAAATGATTTTCTTGTTTCTTTGCAGTTCCTTATACTTCTGTGCAAGAATCCAGAAAATACGTTTCAAATCAAGCAGATCCTGTATCAGTGGGACTAACACGTACATTTTTTCTACGGTTTGTAGACTACCCCAAGCCTGTGTTTAAATGGGTGTGTCCAGGTGACGTAAATACTTTATGTGAAAATTCGAGGGTTGTGATAACAAATACAAACTACACCTCTTCTTTAACTATAAGTGATATAACACCCAGTGATTATGGTCTGTATAAACTATACGCTATCAACGTGGAAGAAATGGAACATAGATTTTTTCCCTTTTATTTGATAAATCCAGAGAAACGACAACGGTTGTGGAGAAGACTAAACTATCATAAACAGAACGCTGTTTAAAAAAAAAACCTGATTTTATTTCTTGCTAAAATGAAACCGGGGGGGGGGGGGCTCAGTGAGTAAGACGTGGACTTAGGTGTTTCTCGGTGTTGGCCGTGAAAGTTCATCGGTCTTTTCCGGCGTGATTTGTGCTGTCAGTGCTGTGGTACATGGCGAATGGGAAGAGAAACCTCCGTTGTCCAATGTAAGCGTTGGCGTGCTCCGAAAAGAACAGACCGTAGCGCCACTGTCCCTGCAAAATGTGTCCCTCATAGCACACTGTATGATGTATGCCCCGCGTCTTCATTAGCTAAGTCTGTGCAAAACAGTAGGACATTAAACCCCATTCCATTGCGTGACCAGAAGACTATTTTTAAAAACGTATGGTACTTGATATAATGAAGTGACTTGTCTGGTTTCTTGGAGCTCAAAATACACTTTTTTAGATATTCAATTATTTCATTCCTGTAAATATAACATTAAATTAAACACAAAAGTTGTATGTAAAACAATTACTGTATCTTAATTGGAGCTACGTTTCTACAATGATTCTCTTATGATTGTGCATGAAAACGACAAGAACACGTAGCTCCGGTTAAAATGCAGTGATTGTTTTCCATAGAACAGTTATGTTTATTTTAGTGTGTTAAATTACTAAATGTCGTTTAATCAGTAAAATAAAACTTTATTTGCTACTGTTAACGCATCTTCAATAGAAGGCTTGATCTAGTTTTAGCTACGTACATCTTATCAAGGCCTTCTTATCAAGGCATTAATTTGGATTGGGTATTCACCCAGCTTGTGAGCCTATCAGATTCCTCAATCATCGCGAATACCAAGTCCCGCGCTTTCCAACCAAAATGTCTAACTGTGATAATCGAGTTGCAAAGTTCAAGGTTTGTTCAATGTCAAAGGTTTCCTTGAATGTCGCTATGCCACAACCTCTGATTGGACGCTACTGTTCACGTCTGTAGATAACATAGCTATAAGTTCGAGAATTGTGAAGTAATCTAGCAACGTCCAGATGTTGTAAACAGGCAGTCGTTGCTTCAGGAACATACTGTTAACGTTTCAATGCCCCGAATGGTTGGCAAGGTTGTTTTGTAAACTCTTTCTATAGAATTTTATAGGATGGTTTAAAATTAAATGCTCTCATACTTGCATTTTAGCTCTTTAATGATCATATTCACACCCTTCACTCTATACATGTACTTAAAACTGCATCGTGTATTAACTTCATAGGTCCAGAGTTTTGGTTGTGTGGTTGTGTTACAGCGAGGAGTTACTCATAATGTGTACAGCCAAACGTCAGATTCGCATAAGTTCAAATTTCTCAGCATACATGTAGTCCCCAAAAGAATGTGAATTACCCGTCATTCCTGGGAGATACGTATAATTCCGGGATTTGAGTGGAGCTTTTCGAATATAATTCTAGGATTTTATTGGAACTATGATACGCTGGTGTGATTACAGAATCGGTCCGCCATTTTCTTTCTAACGGTTAACCGAACTTGCTGCTATCATCAATAATGGTAAGCTCAAAGATGGACCCATCCTGGTATTAAACCATAAGGCTTTAGTTAAAGGTGATGCACCAATTAATCTTCACAATTGAAAGAACTGATTACGTTTGGAGGAATGGGTTAAAAGTAAAAGGAAAAAAAAAAACAACATTGTGATCGCACCTTGTTTTCGACACAATTTCAGGCATTGAGACAGAAAACTCCTTTTTTAACTACAAAAATAATTATAAACGAGATTTATTTACACTTTGGTTATAAAGCTAATGAAGTTAAAGGGACTTTATATACTTCATTTCAGGTAGGACTAGAATGCAAAGCTCATTTAACACGTCAAGCCATTGCCATCTTCGAGTTTGAAATAAAAAAAATGTCAACGATATAAACAATGATGTGGGAGCATTGATTATAAAGGGACCACATTTACTTCACTTCCGGTAGAATATAAAGTTCATATACAACGTCACGATCTTCAAGTTAAAATAACAACTATCAATGGTGGTTTACCAGTTTGGCATTGCTTTCCCGCTAGACCCGAGTAGTTGTTTGAGGAGCTGACTGCAACACCTCTCTGGCTAGACCCATGTAGTTGCTTGTGGAGCTGGCTTCAACACCTCTCTTGCTATAGACCCGGGTAGTTGTTTGGGGAGCTGGCTGCAACATCTCTCTTGCTAGACCTGGGTAGTTGTTTGTGGAGCTGGCTTTAACATCTCTCTTGCTAGACCCGGGTAGTTATTTGAGGAGCTGGATAGGACTTCTTTCTTGCTAGACCCGAGTAGTTGTTTGAGGAGCTGGCTTTAAAATATTTTGCCAAAATAGTCTAGATGTAGGATCGAAATATTTCCTTAACATAACCAGTCCGTATAAAAGAGCTGATACACTCATCAAGTAGTAAAATAATACACAATCTTCAGATGATACCAGATACCCAAAACTCCAACTCAAACCTGAAATTATACAATTTATTTGGGAAATTGAAATACAGAAAAGTATCACGACACTTCAGTAAATACCTCCTATGGTGGCCGACTGACACAGATTGGCTTCAGGGATATAATTTCCTTTTCTGAAATCCATGCGTAACTATTCTTCCATTTAGCTAGAAATTTGGATAAGCGTTTTGAAAAATGTCGGTACCATGTTATATAAGTTAGACTATTGAAGATTAAAATATTATAATGAAGGTCAACGATGAGAGCGACAGACCAAACCCAGTTATTTTTCTCATTCGTTCACGTATTGTTAATGGATTAGAATAACCCTTGTAATATAGCCACACTTCAACAATCATCGCTGCAATATCCCATCAGCAAATGAATGTAGTTTAACTTCCTACTGTGCTAATGAAGACGTGCATACGCCATACAGAGTGGATTGGTGGAAACTAGTGGCCTACGCTTATTTCGAATTCCAACTGTCAACTGTTCTTGCGTGCACGCCAACGTATGGTTTGTCGTCCCATCCGAACGACTAGACACTTTTCCTTGCTACAACCTCTGTTCTGCACCACTGAAAAACGCACACCTCGCTGGAAAATCCCTGGTAACTTTCTAGGTCAACGCCGGATGAAACCCCGGATATTCCTGGTTAGCGAGCCAATGCCTTCCTCACTGGGCCATCGTGGCTCCCTGGTATTGAGAAGAATGCTCTATCATAGAGTCATGGGATTCCATGATAACATCTTCTTTCCATCATCCTTTGCTTAATAAAACCTAGAGAATCCCAGTCAGAACGTCGCCCAGGCATAAACAGTATGACTTGGCTCGCTAATTGGAGGTCGGGTGTTCGATCCTTGTGTTAACTGAGACAGTTCATCCAGATTTTCCGGCGTAGTTACCCCTTGTCAGTGGTGCTGGGCTGAGGGTCTGGCAAGGGATAACATATAGTCGTTCTGATCGGACGAAAAACCGAGGTTCCTTGTATACATTGTGATGCACGTAAAAGAACCTTTAGCTGTTTTAATTCGATATAAGAGTAGGCCGCTGTGCCGCTGTTCGGGCCAAATTTCCCCCATAACACACTGTATGGCATATGCCCGTCTTCATTGGACCTGTCGGAGCAAAACAGTAGAACGTTAAACCCCATTTCAATTCTACATTAACCGTATTCCATACATAATGTGCCCAGTATATTTCCAGTTTAATGACCATATTGTTATAATTGTTTGCTTGATAATTAAAGACTGGACAATCAGTAATAAATATTGCATAGAATCACCAACATTACTTTCACAGTTAATCAATTCTACACAGCGACCTCTATTTACCTGGGGGGTTGTGGATGGCCGAATGGTTAGTACGCGCGCGCTGTATCATACGGTCTGTCATTGAGTCAACTGGCGGGGTTTTGATTCCCCGGTTGTACGTGACAAGGAGTAGGGTCGCCTGTCCAGCCTCGTGGGTTTTCTCCGGGTCCTCCGGTTTCCTCACATTGCTAAAGACCCCAACGCGCAAGCGAATTATTGAAATAAAAAAATTACCTAGTTTGTGTCGAGTGGACGTTAAACCCCATTTCTCCCTGTCTCTCTCTATTTACCTCACAAACAAGCTTGTTTAATGTATTTATTTTAATCATAAATATGGTTTACCTTTTACAATACACATACATCTAGCCAATACAGATCTATATTTCATCCTTTTTTATACATTCGATGGCCCCCACTTCATGAAGATTTGACCGGTTGTAGTGGAAGGTCGCGTCCGAGGTCATACGAGGGGCTTTTGACCCTATGACGTACAAAGACACTTGTTGAAAACTTACCGTTAAATATCAGAGCCGCAAGTAGTAAAGTTATTCTCGTCAAAATTCGTTTTTTGGTGGTCCGTGCTGGAGCTGTCATGGATGACATTCTAGTGGTGATAACGAAGATGATAGCGAAACCGATGAAGGACAGTGTAAATGCTACACCCGCTGGTATGAACAGAAAATAATAAATATAGTTTGGTCTGATCCAGCATCTGAAAAATATAATATTTATTTCATTATCTATATATATATTTGTGACTGTCGTTTGTCTGTCTGTCTTTCTGTCTGTCTGTCTGTCTGTTCGGGGTTGGCGGCTACACTAGGTCTGCCCCGAGTCTGAAATTTGGGGTATAGGGGTAGCTCGGACCGGGGAGTAACATAGGCCAGGTAGCGTTAGTCTACCACTTCCGGTTTCGGAGTTATGAACCCCGAGCGAAGCCGGTCTGTTCGGGGTTGGCGGCTACACTAGGTCTGCCCCGAGTCTGAAATTTGGGGTATAGGGGAAGCTCGGACCGGGGAGTAACATAGGCCAGGTGGCGTTAGTCTACCACTACCGGTTTCGGAGTTATGACCCCCGAGCGAAGTCTGTCTGTTCGGGGTTGGCGGCTACACTAGGTCTACCCCGAGTCTGAAATTTGGGGTATAGGGGTAGCTCGGACCGGGGAGTAACATAGGTCAGGTGGCGTTAGTCTACCACTTCCGGTTTCGGAGTTATGACCCCCGAGCGAAGTCGGGGTTGGCGGCTACACTAGGTCTGCCCCGAGTCTGAAATTTGGGGTATAGGGGTAGCTCGGACCGGGGAGTAACATAGGCCAGGTGGCGTTTGTCTACCACTTTCGGTTTCGGTCTTATGACCCCGAGCGAAGCCGGGTATCCTGCTAGTATTTTACATAATCTTGGTGGGTTATAACAGTTTACAAGAGCAGTGCATCCTCTATTCTGGCTCTACCGAAATTTTTACTTAATCTGAAGAAAATACACAAGCTGCTGCGTTTCATTTGTTTCGGGATCACGTGGCTAAGTGGGTAAGACGCTGGCTCGCTAGCCTGGAGGTCGGGTGTTCGATCCCTGCATTGGCCGAGAAAGTTCATCCAGATTTTCCGGCGTGGCTCCCCTTTGTCAGTGATGCAGGACGGAGGGTCTGACAAGGACAGCTGTCTAGTCCTTCGGATGAGACGAAAAACCGAGGTCCCGTGTATACATAGGAATGCACGGAAAAGATCCCTTGGCAGTTGGAATTCGATATAAGAGTAGGCGATAGTGCCGCTGCCCGGGCAAAATTTCCCATATGGCATACTGTATGGCGTATGCCGTCTTCATTAGCAGAACAGCAGGACGTTAAACCCCATTTCATTTCATTTCATTTGTTTCCTTTTACTGTTAGCATTACAGTAAACTCTGGAAAACTGTGACGTGTTTGAGATCAATCTTTAAAATGTTCTGTGTCGCCGATGACGCCATGTTAGATCGGTGAGTCACTGACTCAAAAAAGAAGGTCTGAGGTTCTATCCAGGCGTTGGGATTTTCCAACCGTGGTTTCCTCTCGGCAGTGTTTCAGGATTGAGGGCCTGCTTAGGGACAGTGACTAATCATTAGCAGTGTACAAACCAGCGCCGGGTCCCAGTTACAAGATGGCACCCTGGGGGATGTGGTGGCGTTGACCTGAAATGATCGTCTGCGAAGTATTATCTTGGGTGGGAAGTCATAAACTTAGTTCCAAGCAGTTAGTGTCAATCTAGTTTAGCATTCTGAATGAAGTTGTTTCTTGTCACGGAATATACGCGGAGAGATTATTCAAACTTTGTTTTCTAACGGTAATGCGGGGGGTTGGATGGCCGAATGGTTAGCACGTGCGCGCTGCGCTGTATCATACGGTCTGTCATTGAGTCAACTGGCGGGGTTTCGATTCCCCGGTTGTAAGTGACAAGGAGTAGGGTCGCCTGTCCAACCTCGTGGGTTTTCTCCGGGTCCTCCGGTTTCCTCCCACTGCTAAAGACCCCTACGCGCAAGCGTATTATTGAAATAAAATTGAACCATGTGTTAGTCCCGAAATGACCTAGTTTGTGTCGAGTGGACGTTAAACCCCATTTCTCTCACTCTCTCTATGCGACTTTTCTGTTAGCCAAATCCGACTACATGAGTTTGCAAAGAGAATCAATAAATAACATCAATGAAACAGAGAGTCAGTAGCACTTCCTGTGGTCGAATTTTCAAAATGTGCCACATCAAGATATTTTGGCGACGTAGAACAGTACATACTACTACTATGATATGTCACAAAAGATACACTTCATATTAATACAACACACATGAAGAGCCCCGGGGAAGAACGATCTAATTCACTTTTTCAACGAACCCCAGTTAATGGCGGCATCTGGAAGCAAATTGTTTCAGGTTAAAACGATCGGAGTCACATCGAACCAAGGCCCTTCTGAAATGGCCTCCTTGACAAATACGTCCATCGTACCCTTTATTTGACCTTAATTTGGCTGAAAAGTGGAAGTCAGTTGTTGTACTGGTAATTATGATTCGTATTAAACATCATTTTAAAGTTGTAATTAAACCCACTCGTTGTTATGTTCGCGTCAAGCATTCTCGTCCAAAAGTCTGTTTTGCCTTTTATGCGAAAAGACAAAATGTGACTTAGATCGTTCTTCCCCTAGGCTTTTCACATGATACACAAGACACACTTGTATTACTGCTTATTTAGCATATTACGCCTGAATAGATTACCTATAGACCAAAAAAATGAACGATGTATCAAGGACTTGTACCGAACAGGAACCGCTGTGCTTGTAGAAGAATGTAGGATCATTCAGAGATATACCTAAATAATATAATTCATGAATTTGCAAGATTTAGAAAAAGTGCCACTGTGTGGAATCGTACTTCATTGGGTTTTTTCTACAAAATATGAAAATTTGTCACGAAATCGCCGAGGCATTAGCCTATGATGCCCTCGCCATGGTATAAACTGACATGCACGTAAAAGAGCCCTTGACAGTTGGAATTCGAAATAAGGGTAGACCTTTTCGTAAATTCGTGTATGGTTTAGAAAGGTCATCTATAGAAACATACATGATTCCTGACGTCTATGCCCCCCCCCCCCCCCACCTATAAAAAGCGAACTACTTACATATCTCTAATTGTATTGTAACTGTTTAATTGAAATGATAGCAGGACTATAACAGGTAACACAGGTAACACTGTAACAAAACAGAAGAGATAAATAAATGTTTAAAATCAAATATAGAAGTAATGACAAAAAGAATGGCACTTAACCATTTTCGCCACTGACTCGATGCGGACAAAGAAATTCGTGTTTAAAAGTCATACCACCTGTTCACCTCCAATAGGTTTGAAGCATTGTGAGCCATCGGATCCCATATATAAAGGTAAAATGGTAGTATTTTATGAAGCTCGCTTTCAGAAAATAAAGCTGAGATTACTTATGTTCATGGAAGATTGCATTAACCATTCATTCATTCGTTCTAAATTCAGCCCAAATATTCACCCTGTATATTTGTCAATGTCGAAAAAATCTTTCCGGGAAGTTATCAAGATCGTTTTCTTATTGCTAATGGGAGGCGCGGTGTTTCGGTGAGTACGACCTTGGCTCACTGATCAGGCTGTAATTTCTAATCAGTTATGTTCAGCGAAATACGCGAAGAGGTCTACACCGGTAGTAATCTCCTGTGGGGTATGTTTAGTCTGGTTCATCGAGTCGCTGCATTACAAACAGTGCTCGAAAGCATTCTGGCACGCGATTCGTGTGCCAATGTTTAAATTTTCATTAGCAGAAGTCTAATTTTTCACGGTAAGATAACAACATCAATGTTGATTTATATTGACCAAAAATCGTGTTTGCAATGTCAAAGACTGGGTGATATTAACTTAGCGACTTGCCTCCTTTAAGGTGTGTTATTATTATTATTTTATAGACGAAATACTGTAAATATTACCTGAGCCAATGAGAAGGAATTTCCATCGTAATCCATTAAAATCTAATCCATGAAATATAATATACAATAGGTAATTTGTGACCATTTCTATAACACCCCATACAAAGGTCATCAATACAAAGTAATGTAATATAACGGCTATTGCAGCACATAATATATAATTATTAGAACCGTCAATATAAAATCCCAATAAATAGACGAACAATGATGAAATATGACTGCAACAATGAAGCACTTGAACAAATTTGGCAAGTTGTCGTTGTGGTCGACCTACTCGCAATTTTCTGTAAAAAAAGGAAGAAAAGTTGACTTTGAATAATACAATAGGGAACTAATTTTAAAAGACTAATATCCAACAAAAATAATACCCTCATTTAATACAGAAGCACACACCTGTGACAGGGTACTAGTAGTACCTTGCTGCGCAACTGCCCGATTCATAGTCTATTTTTCTTGTTTTCTGCACAAGTTGTTCGATGAAATCAGGCCGAAGTTTTTAAGTTAAATTTTGATAAATATGCCATGATATCGCTTTAACGGCCATTTCTTTAAGAGTAAGCTTAAACTGTGATTAGACCTCCCTGCCTTTAGGTACCCTGTATTGCTGGAATATATTTTCAGCAATTAAATATTTTAGACATCCATTTAAACGTACCTAATAAAAGTAATAGTTAATATTACAAATAGTTCTATCACCATAGCAACAATGACAACAACAGTGGCAGGTATAACGGTTATTGTACCATCTGATCTATCGCCTGGACAATCATCACTACCAACACACTGTAATATCAATACATACATTTATATCAGTGCAGCAATACATTTACGTGAGGAGGAGAGAGAGAAGAGAGCGAGAGAGAGAGAGAGAGAGAGAGATGGGTTTAACGTCCACTCGACACAAACAAGGTCATTTCGGGACTAACATATGGTTTAATTTTATTTTAATATTTCGCTTGCGCGTAGGGGTCTTTAACAGTGGGAGGAAACCAGAGGACCCGGAGAAAACCCACGAGGTTGGACAGGCGACCCTACTCCTTGTCACGTACAACCGGGGTTTCGAAACCACGCCAGTTGACTCAATGACAGGCCTTATGATACCGCGCGCACGTGCTAACCATTCAGCCATCCAACCCCCCCCCCCCCCCTACGTGACGAGGAATAATCTATATCGCTAATAAGATATTCTAACCGTTTCACCTTGCTTTTGGTTTGATTTCTGAAACATATCTTTTTAAGAAATGACGAAGTTTATGGGATATAGAATGGCGTCGATAACAGCAGTATAGAATGTTTTTACTTTCTTAATATACAAATTGTGTCTGAACTTTTAATGTGCCCGCGTCGTAACGGTTTTGCTATTCAGTATTTTACGATCTTATTCCTTCAAATCAATGGAATTCATTGCTGATTTAACCCTAAATTAAAGGTATTAACAGAACACAGTTTTTATGGGAAACAATCACTGGTTTTATTCTAATAGCACGACGTTTCGACAAGTATCCTCTTATCGTTATCAAGTACAATGACATTTAGTAAACTTGAGTTTAATATATAAGACATCACGATGAAGTCATTTACAAAGATTAAATAACAATGGCAATAAGAAGTAAAATATTAAACAAAAACCAAAACAAAATAATATGCTTACATTCCAGGCAACGTCGTGCTTATAGAATAAAACTAGTGATTATTTCCCATAAAAACTGCTCTGTTAATGTGTTTCCCAATCGCTAAATGTCACTTAAAGATTATTAAATTAAAGGTAGTCTAGTCAAACATGATCGCAAAATCATTTTAAACAATATATAAGATTTAAGAACATCAAAGATTTAGAAAATGTCCACTTACCAGATTGTTAGAAGAGTTGTAAGTCGTCCTTGTTACGTTGTTATTGTGAGTTATGTCGGCCATGTTACCGTGTCATAAAGAATTAATGAATAAATGAATGAAATGGGGGGGTGGGCATGGTCCTATCTTTCTACACCGACCGGACAAATGAAGATGGCGTGTCTTAAAGACATATATTATATCAAGTAAATATTAAGTAATGACAAGATTCAAGTTTAAACCGGATATTTATTTAACCTAATAACAGTTATGTTGAATGTGCCCCGTGAAACACACTAAATGAATGTGTACATTTGACCTGTGAATTCCCGGTTTTGAATGAATAGATGAAATTTGGTTTAACGAACGTCCTAATTTTCTGCTTGCAGGTTTTATAGACTTTAAAATACATGAGGCAAAATATCGCAATTGATATACGGACGATATCATACCTTATGATGCACCCATGGTAAGAGAAATCCTACGATTTATAGTAGTTCACCCACTTTACTATGCCACGCCTGTATGCAAACGATAAATAAGACAGCGATTTATATAGTGTATTTACAATATGCGTCGGCGGTGGGTCAAAAGAAGGGAAACAACTACATGTGTCATGATGGAGTTGGTCCACTGTGTTTTGGGGAAACTAGTCATGTGGCAGTTTCATTTCTACTCATGACTAGTTTATAAAATATATTTCCGACAGAGATCGCTGCGGCTATGGGGGATGATATCAATTAGGAGAAAATAAGACTATTTTAGTTGCGGATATGTTAACTATGTATACCAGTGAGGATAACAAAACCGATACACCCATCAAGCTCACCTTAAAAGATGACGTCGAATATATCTTAATCCCCCAATACCATCAACTGACATTGTTATACATCATACCTTTTGACAAGCACTACATATGCCTAGGCGGGTTTTCGATTCCCCGCTTGAACGTGACAACGAGTAGGATCGCCTGCATAACCTCTTGGGTAATCTACGGGTCCTCCGGTTTTCTCCCACTGCTAAAAACCTCTACGCACAAGCGAATTATTGAAATAAAATTAAACTATGTGCACGTTACCCTCCCCGCCCCCTCCAGTGCCCATAACATGCTGAGTACAGTTTTTCAAAGCTCAAAATAGCAAAGACTATATGCGTTCAGTGATGAACCAGGGACGCATCCATGAACTATTGACTCTTGCGTGTAAACGTGATCTGACGGACACGGTCGATGTTGACAAAATCGCCGATCGGTGGCCAAACTTGACTATGTGCGGATGCTTCATGAAAATATGAGGACATAGTCATCTCTTTGCTAATTTATGTATATTCACCTCAACAATAGTCATCTCTTTGCTAATTTATGTATATTCACCTCAACAATATCTCGAAGAAATAGGTCAATGTAAATGGCGCAATTATTACTTTCATAAATTGTCACAGATTCACAGTACTTTGCAAATTTCCTTATAAATAACATGAATTCCCGTGCGTACTCAATTTTACTCATGTTATAAGAGTTTTCCGACCACCAAAATTCTTCTAAATCTTCGCTACAAAGTCCAGCGAATAGCATTTCAGGAACTCTAGATTCAAACAATTTCTCTAGTCGGTCTCATTTTTTCTACCCCCCCCCCCCTCATCCCCAAACAAATCGATATGTACGCCCCTGAGGGATATAAACTGTTGATAAGGAGAAATGGAATTTCTTCAGTTAAAAAAAAATAAAAATGGACCGACTCCATCATGAAACGTATAGTTATTTCCCTTCTTTTGACACATCTTCGACGCGTATTGTAAATCGACTATAAATCGCAGTCTTATTTATCATGTGGATATATTATTGGTATGGCATATACCGAAATGAGTGAACTGCTATAAATCCTGGGTTTTCTTTTATCATGAGGTATATGGTCAGTATTCTATCAAATTGTTGGTATGGGTTATTAAGATATATTAGAAGTCACCTTTTAAGGTGAGTTTGATCATTGTAGTCTTATTCTTGTTGTTTAGTCGTTATCATATCTTCCACGTTATTGATCCCCGCTCGCCATAGCCGTAGCTAGGAGACAAGGACGCGATTTCTATCGACAAAAAAATATAGGTTAAATAAATATCCGGTTTAAACTTGAATCTTGTCATTACTTGATATTTACTTGATATAATATATTTCTTTAAGACACGCCATCTTCATTTGTCCGGTCGGTGTAAAAAAGCAGGACCTTAAACCCCCATTTCATTCATTCATTCATTCTTTATGACACAGCTAACATGGACGACATAACACATTCTAACAACGTAACAAGGACGGCTTACAACTTTTCAAGTCTGGTAAGTGAACATTTTTTTTTAAATATTTGATGTAGTTACACCTTGTATATTGTTTAAAGTGATTTGGCGATCATGTTTGACCAGACTCCCTTTTATCTAGGGTTAGGATCGTGATTTGGGGGTCACTTCAAACATGAATTGCAATGAATTGAAGAAATAAGATAGCCGGTTTCGGTCGTTACTCTATTCCTGTGAGGGAGGTTGGATGGCTGAATGGTTAGCGTGCGCGCTGTATCATAAAGTCTGTCATTGAGTCGACTGGCGTGGTTTCGAATCCCCGGTTGTACGTGACAAGGAGTAGGGTCGCCTGTCCAACCTCGTGTGTTTTCTCCGGGTCCTCCGGTTTCCTCCCACTGCTAAAGACCCCTACGCGCAAGCGAATTATTGAAATAAAATTAAACCATATGTTAGTCCCGAAATGACCTAGTTTGTGTCGAGTGGACGTTAAACCCCATTTCTCTCTCTCTCTCTCTATTCCTGTGAATAGCCGAAACATCCTGACCAGAGCACATTAAACGTTTAGACATAATTTGTGTATTAAATATGCATTATGTAAGATTGAAACAAAGAGCTGACCGTGCTTGCTATAATAGTTCAAAAATAGATAATGAAAAAATGAATATATCGAAAATTTCAGTCAAATTAATTTATTCTAAGCGAAGTTATGAATGTTTGAAATTTTGACCAGAATAACGTTGTCTCGATTGTCATTGATACGATAATACATAATGAAGTCTCGATTTTCAATTTTAGTGTTAACCGATTAAACGGCGCATGCGATCCAATCCAAGTAATGTCACATTCATCAGATGGTCTATAGAGTTGATTATGTGCTTGTATAAATGTATAAATAATAATTTATATCAAATTTGAAGCCAGAAAAAAGATCAGCAATCTTCGACATTTTTTAAAAAAAAAACGTTTGAAAATTAATTTTTGTAAATTAGTTGGCAACGGCAATCAAAAACAAGCTGAAACGGTTAGAATATCTCAATTAAGTGTAGTAGCGATATAGGTTATTCCTCCTCATGTAAACTTATTGCTACACTAATATAAATGTATTGATATTACAGTGTGTTGGTAGTGATGATTGTCCAGGCGATAGATCAGATGGTACAATAACCGTTATACCTGGCACTGTTGTTGTCATTGTTGCTATGGTGATAGAACTTTTTGTAATATTAACTATTACTTTTATTAGGTACGTTCAAATGGATCTCTAAAAATATTTAAATGCTGAAATTTTTTTCCAGCAATACAGGGTACCTAAAAGCAGGGGTTCTAATCACAGCTTGAGATTACTCTTTGAATTTTGTCTTACAGAAATTTGGATATTTCTTAAAATGAATCTTAATTACATTGAACTGGTACATCACTGGAAATAAACAGCATCTTGGGAAATGTGATCGAACATTTGTCAGTTTTGATAAACAAACAATTTCAGGAACCCTTAAAAGCTAGAACTATTGTCTGCTGCCTTCTACCACGTACATTTGATTGGATAAACCATTATGACTTACCGGTGTCCTCCCATATCACATGTTGTTTCAACCCGTATGACTAGTGGGCCGTATGACTAATAGGGTAGAGAGAGAGTGACAGAGAGAGGGGGGAGGAGAGAGAGAGAGAGAGAGAGAGAGAGAGAGAGAGAGGGTGTTAACGTGCACTTGACACAAACTAGGGCATTACGGGACTCAAACATGTGACCGAACATTTGTCAGTTTTGATAAACAAACACTTTCAGGAACCCATAAAAACTAGAACTATTGGCTTTAGCTTTTCTTTTAAAGGCCACACCCACACTGTCTGTTGCCTTATACACATGCGATTAGACAAACCATTATGGCTTACCGGATTATCAAATTAACAAATCACACCATGCTCCTTATTTGATCGAACAACGTAGGCAGAAAACGAGGAAAATTAGGCTGCGAAACGGGCATTCTGGCGTGTCCTCAAATTGATGTAGTGTTCATTTAGCAGAGAACTACCGCAGTACCCTGTCACAGGTGTGTGCTTCTGTATTACAGACGGTATTATTTTTGTTGGATATTAGTTTTAAAAAATGAGTTCCCTATTATATTATTCAAAGTCACCCTTTCTTTCTTTTTTTATAGAAAATTGCGAGAAGGCCGACCACAACGACAACTTTCCAAATTTGTTCAAGTGCTTCATTGTTGCAGTCATATTTCATCATTGTTCGTCTTTTTATTGGGATTTTATATTGACGGTTCTAATAATTATATATTATGTGCTGCAATAGCCGTTATATTACATTACTTTGTATTGATGACCTTTGTATGGGGTGTTATAGAAATGGTCACAAGTTACCTATTATATATTATATTTCATGGATTAGATTTTAATGGATTACGATGGAAATTCCTTCTCATTGGCTCAGGTAATATTAACAATATTTTGTCTATGAAATAATAATAATAACACCATGTTAACACTTACCCCGTTTAAGTGCATGTGCAACACTGGTATTGGCCTGCTTCTGTCATAAACCCAGTAAGACACTGTTAACGATAACGAAATGAAATGAAATGGGGTTTAACGTCCTACTATTCTGCTGTTAACGATAACAAAGGGGATTTAATTTCCCACCTTTATGCACCGATAATGACGGACATGCGCATTTGAATTCCAGCTGTCAAGGGTTGCCTTACATATACGCCAATGTGTACACGAGACACTGATCCCTGCCGGACTGATCATACTTTCTTTAACACCAAGAGACACCGTGACTCCCAATTGACGATAACAACCTTAAAGATACATTATGGGAGATTCGATAACGAGTTGGCAGTTCTCACTATAATAGTTAAAAACTAGATAATGTAAAGGCAATTTGCTGAAAATTTGATTCAAATTGATTCACAATGAACCGAGAACTAAGGGATTGAAATTTCCGCCTAGCGTCGATCATCATTACTAAAGTCAGTAAGATAAACAGCATAGTCTCGATTATCGATTTAATCGTTAAATCGCGAAGGAAAGTTATGCAGTAAATCGGCTCATAATCCACTAAAGAACGCAGGCTAGCGATGACATCTAGAGTTGATTATGATCTGGATAGGTTAATTAATGTCTAATTAATAATTTAGATAACATTTCAGGCCTAAAGAAAGACCCGCAATAGACAGATTTAGCTCTTGCATATGTATGTTTAATGTATGTGAGAGCGCTTTTGATGACTTCTAGGAAAACTGAATACAAATATTGTAGATAATGCAGGATGAATGTTTTGCCGAATTAAGAACGGATTCAAGGTGGATGCGATCTTCAATGGCCACAAGTTATATCAGCTTTATTTTCTTCATAGAGCACTGCAATGTTACCTTTACCGTGGCCCATGTTTTAATAACTTGAAGTTCTGCAAGTCAAACTTATTAGAGGTGAACCGTTCATATAACCTTTAAACATCTACTTCTGTGTCCACGTGGCGAACTGGGGTCAGTACCATTCTCTTTGTCATTATTTATCTCTTCTGTTTTATTACAGTGTTACCTGTGATACCTGTTATAGCCCTGATATCATTTCAATTAAACAGTTACAATACAATTAGAGATATGTAAGTAGTTATATGTTTTATTCATAAAATCAAAAATGTCGGGGGCAGACATTACAAACAATAAACATATTCGAAAACACAAATGTTAAGTCACGCCAAGAATCGTGTAGGCTAAACATGTCTACTATTTATTTCCTCAAATCAGCACCTGTGTTTCCAGTGCGGACTTTTCAAACCGCACAAAAGTACCAGAATTTCCCTACACCCGACAGAAAGCTCCACGAAACGGTCTTAGATATCTTATATCAAACAGAACACGGTTTCTTTAAAATCCCTGCCAGGCCCTAATGTAACGAAGTCAGATACAGTGAAATAAATGAAACGAAACAGAATCCGTGTTTCATCAGTTTATGACAAATTCACATAAAAGATGCATATGTAAGATTTTGATAAAATAGATAATGCAAAATGAATATATTGAAAATTTCATTCATTACTTTGTTGTGAGCGAAGGTTTGACAAGATGTGGCATAGATTGTTTATTATCGTAACGATATTACATGCTATTCGAGACTTAGCCTCGCTTCGCCAATTTTAAAGTACATCATTAAATGGCGACTGTCTTTTAATCCGTTTAAATTTCCGCTATCCGATGGTCTATGCTTGTTGTGAGAATAAATCTCTAAAAAATAGTTTATATAACTTTTTGTAGCCAAAATAAAGACCTGCAATAGGGAGATTTAGCTCTTACATAATGCATCTTTAAACATTGATCACAAATGAAGAAGAAATGAAATGAAATGGGGTTTAACGTCCTACTGTTCTGCTCCTATGCTGGGCTAATGAAGACGGGCATACGACATACAGTGTGCTATGAGGGAAATTTTGCCCGGGCAGCGGCACTATCGCCTACTCTTATATCGAATTCCAACTGCCAAGGGATCTTTTACGTGCATTCTAATGTATACACGGGACCTCGGTTTTTCGTCTCATCCGAAGGACTAGACAGCTGTCCTTGTCAGGCCCTCCGCCCTGCATCACTGACATGGAGGAACCACGCCGGAAAATCTGGATGAACTTTCTCGGCCAATGCAGGGATCGAACACCCGACCTCCAGGCTAGCGAGCCAGCGTCTTACCCACTTAGCCACGTGATCCCCAAATGAAGAAGACGTTAATGGTTATAACCAACATAAAGTATGTTAAATATGACGCAATAAATGTTACATTTTTCAGATGCTGGATCAGACCAAACTATATTTATTATTTTTTGTTCATACCAGCGGGTGTAGCATTTACACTCTCTTTCATCGGTTTCACTATCATCTTCGTTATCACCATTAGAATGCCATCCATGACAGCTCCAGCGCGTGCCACCAGAAAACGAATTTTAAAGAGAATAACTTTTCTACTTGTGGCTCTGATTTTTAATGGTAAGTTTTCAAAAGTTGCCTTTGGACACCGTACTTTCACAACGTTTTATTACTAACTGATTTTTGAATTAATATAAATAAAGCTAGAAGTATATGTATTTAAATGGTAAAATATACATTATAACAGGCTTGTCATGTTGGTGATATTATTTGGATAAAGAAACAGAAATAATATACACAAGACATAATCCTATGGAATATAATTACTGTTTATTTCTGGGGGTTGGATGGCCGAATAATTAGCACGTGCGTGCTGTATCATAAGACCTGTCATTGAGTCAACTGGCGGGGTTGACGTGACAAGGAGTATGGTCGCCTGTCCAGGCTCGTGGGTTTTCTCCGGGTCCTCCGGTTTCCTCCCACTGCTAAAGACCCTTACGCGCAAGCGAATTATTGAAATAAAATTAAACTATATGGTAGTCCCGAAATGACCTAGTTTGTGTCGAATGGACGTTAAACCCCATCTCTCTCTCTCTCTCTCTCTCTCTCTCTCTCTCTGTTTAGTACTGATTATCCAGTCTTTAATTATCAAGCAAACAATTATAACAATATGGTCATTAAACTGGAAATATACTAGGAACATTATATATGGAATACAATTACTGTAGAAATGAAATGAGGTTTAACGTTCTATTGTTTTGCTCCGACAGGTCCAATGAAGACGGAATTTTCCCAATCTGTGGCTCTACGGCCTACTCTTTTATCGAATTCCAACAGAAAGGGTTTTTTACGTACACACCAGGCCAATGTGTACGCGGGACCTCAGATTTTCGTCCCATGCGAACGGATATGCGTTGTCCCTTGCCAGACCCTCCAACCTGCACCACTGACACGTGAGAACCACGTCAGAGAATCCCGGTGAACTTTCTCTGTCAACACAGACATCGAACACGGGACCTCCAGGTTAGCGAGCCAACGTTTTACTCACTCAGCCATACTGTTTATGCCTGGGCGACGTTCTGTTTGTGATTATCAAGCAAAGGATGATGGAAAAAAGATGTTATCATGGAATCACATGACTCCATGATAGAGCATTCTTGCCAATACGAGGGAGCCACGATGGCCCAGTGAGGAAGACACTGGTTCACTAACCAGGAATATCCGGGGTTTGATCCGTCGTTGGCCGAGAAAGTTCCCCGGGATTTTCTAGCGAGGTGGTGCAGAACAGAGGTTGTAGTAAGGAACAGTGTCTAGTCGTTCCGTTGGGACGACAAAATGAGGTCCCGTGTACACGTTGGCGTGCACGAAACAGAATATTTGACAGTTGGACTTCGAAATAAGAGTAGGCCACTAGTTTCGGCATGTTTACCTCATATCACACTGTATGGTGTATGTCCAATTGGTGCAGCACAATAGCACCTTAAACCCCATTTCATTTGCAGATGGCAACGATAAATCATGAAGACTGTTGAAGTGTGGCTATATTACGAGATGCATTTTAACCCATTAACGATACGTGAACGAATGAGACAAAAAATTGGGTTACATCTGTCGCTCTCATCGTTGCCCTTCAATATAATATTTTAATATTCAATAGTCTTATAAAATACAATACCAGCGCCTATAGCATGTTTTTTTTTTATCAAAACGCTTATTCATATTTCTAGCTAAATGAAAGACTAGTTACGCATGGATTTCAGAAAATGGAGTTATCGTCCTTGGACCGGTTGCTCAAAACTAAGTTATTTTAACGATCCATTAAACTCTAACGGATCGTTATCTTACTAACGTGTTGCTTGTTAACGATCCGTTAAATTTCTGCTGCTGGAAAGTTTTTTTTATTATCCGTTAGTTAACGGATTGATTAAAGTTAATGCAGGAGAAAACTGTTTGATCATTGGTTGAATTTTAAATTTTTAAATTCAATGTACATGTATAACAACTTCATATCAGTTAGCATTAACAAGAAACTGAAGACAGTGGGACAGCTGTGCACTCTGTTTAGTTAAAGACAAAAAGATAACTTTAGAATTTTAGCATAAATCTGTAGGAAAAATCATGGGATTTGCATGCACTACAGAAACTGCAGAATATTTATTTGGGCCATTATTTCCCACGAGCCCCCCCCCCCCCCCCAAATTTTGTAGAATTTCATCCTATAGAAAATGGATTAGCCCCCCACCCATCACCCAAACCTCTAGAATATTCTATAGAAAATTACACGGACTTTTTGCTAAGGGTATTCTTTGATTGACAGCCGACTAATGCCATCGTTAAACAGATAACGGAGCCCAGCACCTCCGTTAAATCTAACGGCAAGTTAACGGGGCTTTCGGCAACAGACTTTCTCTCCGTTAAAGATAACACTTCATTAAGTCCGTGTGTATTTACTGAAGTGTCGTGAGACTTTGTTCTATTTCAATTCCCCAAATAAATTGTATAATTTCAGGTTTGAGCTGGAGTTTTGGATATCTGGTATCATCTGAAGATAGTGTATTGTTTTACTACTTGATGAGTGTATCAACTCTTCTATACGGACTGGTTATGTTAAAGAGATCCCTCGATCCTAAATCTAGAATAATTTGGAGAAATATGTTAAAGCCACCTCCTCAGACAACTACCTGGGTCTATCGAGAAATATGTTAAAGCCAGTTCCTCAAACAACTACCCGGGTCTAGCAAGAAAGAAGTCAAATCCAGCTCCACAGACAACTACCCGGGTCTAACAAGAGAGATGTTAAAGCCATGGAGTTCCTAAAACAGCTACCCGGGTCTAGATAGAATGAAGTCAAACCCTTCTTCTCAAACAACTACTTATGTCTAGCGAGAGAGTTATTTAAGCCTGTTCCTCAAACAACTACTCAGGTCTAGCGAGAAAACAGAATTTTATAATCGATGCCAAAATGATTGACCACCATTGTGTGTATCATTGATATTTTCTATTTAAACTTGAAGAATGTGACGTTGCTTTGAACTTTATATTTTACTGGAAATGAAGTAAACACTGCCCCTCTATACTCCATGCCAAAACGCTTTAACACCATTTTTTTATTTCGAAATCGAAGAACCCAATGAACTTTGTATTCCAGGCCTACCGGAAGGGAAGTATATAGTCCCTTTAATTTCATCAGCTTTATAACCAAAGCGTAAATGAATCTCGTTTATAATTATTTTTGTAAATTAAACAAAATGGTTTTCTGTCTAATTGCCTGGTTTTATTTTGAAGAAAACAAAGAGCTCACAATGTGGGTTTTTCTTTTACTTTAACCTGTTCCCGGATGTTAGTGTCCAAACCCACATGATTCTAGTTGAGATGATCTATTCTTAGGGTCAAACAAATTGGATTCTGTTTTGGCATCATTTAGTCAAGGCGGTTTAGGTCCATCCAGTCTTTATGTTTGTGATTTTGAAAAGGTCTGACAGCTGTGTGTCATCAACTAAGAGATGATGACGAATTGCGGGATCATTTAAATAATGACCGCGCTGTCTTGTAGACAAAGTGACCAACACTGGCCCAAAAAAACAGTACGGTGTGGTACACCGCATAATAACACCGAAGAGTCCGATGTAGAGAAATTTACTGCTGTCTAAACCAAGATATGGCTGAAACCCTTATAAAGCACTGCCTTCAATCCTGAATTCGATTGAAGTCTATCTAAAAACAAACTATGACCAACGGAGTCGAATGCAGCTGATAAATCTAAGAGTATCAAAAGTGCAACTTGATCACCAACCAGTGATATCTTTATATCCTTCAGGACTTTGTTAAGGGCTGTTTCGGTACCGTGACTAGGTCTATAGACTGATTGCTGTTCGCAGAAAAGAATGTTAATGTCTAAATGTTCAAATAATCCAATTTTAACAGCTTTCTCCAGAACCTTTAAGAGGAAATACAGATTAGACTAAACACAGGACTATAATTCTTCAAGATGTTCTTGTCCAAACCTGATTTTTAAAAAAGTAGTTTAGCTCACTTGAAAATAATTGGAACAGTTTCAGTTTGCAAGCTGGGATTAATGGTTATCGTTACTGTTGGCAATAAAACATCAAAATATGCCATCAACAGACGTGTAGGTAAAGGGTCAATTTCACAAAAACCTGGTTTTGGAGACTTGATGATTTCAGAAATCTCGGATTTTGATAATTATCGAAAGCATTCAGAACTGACCCAAAAAATCTTTTTTTAAAAAAAAAAAACTATAAGGGACATACGTATTGGTGGTATTAGACTTTTTAATGTTATCTTGAATATCAATAAATTTGTTTGCCAGACTCACAGTCATGTAGTGTAACACAAGTTGATCTTCCCAACAAAGAGAACATAAATGAAAATTATTTCTTGATCCCTGCAATAAATGGTCTTGGTAGTTCTCAGAAGTGTATGAAGTTCAATACGTTTTGTCCAGTGAATCAGTCGATGTACTTCTAGACCTGACTTGCGCCAGCAACATTTGACAGGTCACAATTTAGTTTTACGTGTAGCGATTTGATCTGTGTACCACGGTGATCTAGATTCGATTCGCACTTGTTTGATAAAAAGATAATTAATTTTCCCAAATCCAAAAATAGATGAATGGAATATTTATTGAATGGAAAATGAAATTCATGAACAAAGATCTTCGGATTTGTAGGTTTCTAGCTTGGGCAGATTTGTGATTTGAATTCCTTTTTATATTTATTTACAGAGGTTAAAAGTTTTATACGAAAATATTATATTTGTTTTGTTATAATGGATTTGCTCATATCCGTTCTACTGCACAACTGGTGGTTGTAATCATTTATTAAAGTTTATTGAGTGTAGACCAAACATAGTGTGTATTGGGGTGTTTAAGACTAAATGTTATTCCCCCCACAATGCCGTTCAAAGGTTCTAACTACGTGTATATAATTTTAAGGTGAAAAAACACAAATTCTTTCATTATATGTATTTTTTGAGGTTGGAGCAGTGGAGTGGAGCCTACAACACGTGTCTTGGAAGCTCCCCCTTTAGCTAGTATTTATAGAACGCATTTAGTGTGCAATAATGATCATGAAATGGGCTAAATAGATACTACTCAGATACTTCCGAAACTTGATTAATATCACTTTAGCAGCCTTTTACATAAACTATATGAAGAGTGACAAGTCATAAAACTTTTCATATCCGCATGATCATCATGTTCCACTCTTGTTTAAGTCTCTCGGTGTCTTTCACATCAATCTACCAATAAAAATTAGCATTAATAATAATAATAAAAATAATAATAATAATAAATCTATTTCAATTGCAAGCTGTCTAAACCAAGATGGTGTGTTGTATGCATCTAAGTGTTGCGACGATCTATCAATCAATAGTTGCATTATGATCTATTTTATCGGACATGGAATGTGAAAATACTTTGGGACTATAAACTAGATAACACGTTGCATTAATTACTCAATAAAAGCCAATAGGATCCGAATAGTTCTTTTATAGGCCACCCCTGCCTTCAGTGTTTAAATATAACAATGAGCACAATAGCCTACAGTATATTTAGTAATCTTTATTGTAGTGGGGGGATCACGTGGCTAAGTGGGTAAGGCGCTGGCTCGCTACCCTGGAGGTCGGGTGTTCGATCCCTGCATTGGCCGAGAAAGTTCATCTCGATTTTCCGGCGTGGTTTCCCATTGTCAGTGATGCAGAACAGAGGGCCTGATAAGGACAGTTGCCTAGTCGTTCGGATGGGACGAAAAACCGAGGACCCGTGTACACTTTGGCGTGCACGTAAAAGATCCCTTGGCAGTTGGAATTCGATATAAGAGTAGGCCGTAGCGCCGCTGCCAGGGCAAAATTTCCCTCATAGCACACTGTATGGCGTATGCCCGTCTTCAATTAGCCCAGGTTAGGTGCAGAAGAGTAGGACGTTAAACCCCATTTCATTTCATTTATTGATTCCCGGCCATTCAGTCATACTGTTGTATATATGTTTGCCTGATATGAAAGAAGTGAACTGGTGGTTGTTATATTGTACTGTATATATGGCTGTACGCTTGACACATGTACGACCTGACAATATGTTCTAATTACGAAAAATGTGATCATAAATCAAAAGAGGTTCAATTGAAATGAAATGAAATGAAATGGGGTTTAACGTCCTACTCTTCTGCACCTAACCTGGGCTAATTGAAGACGGAGGTTCAATTGAAGGAAGTATACTAGAAAACACATGTTTTAGAACAGTGTTTCCAAACCTGGGTCTGAAAAGTCGAAAGTGTGTAAGAAGCAGGGGATGAGGGGGGGGGGGTATAGAGAAAGGAAAATAAGATAAATGGTGATAGAGAGGAAGAGAGAAGATAGAGATGGGCAGAGGCGGATTCAATGGGGGGCGCGAGGGTCGCTCGCCCCCCCCCCCTAATTTTCGACAGTTCCTTTTTTTACTGCTGAAAGTGCCTTTTCTCAGACTCAAATATGTCCGTTCCTAACCCGTTGTAGGGATCCCAAATGACTCAAACCATCGACTCAAACACACCAATCTGGGAAATAGCTCTTGGAATGGCTACAGATGCAAGGAAATGACGGATAATTTTCTTGGGACCCCCCCCCCCCCCCCACAGCGACGTGCCCCGTCTCCGCGGTCAATGCCTTCATTTTGCAGCGCCCCCCCCCCCCACTTTCAAAATTCCTAGATCCGCCCCTGATGGGATTTAACTCAACACAACCTAGATCATTTTGGAACTAACGCATGATTCAATTTTATATCAATAATTTACTTGCGCGAAGAGGTCTTTAGCAGTGGAAGGAAACAGAGAATGGGGTTGAAGGTACTGTAGAGGATCTACCCAAATACAGAGAGAGTTGTCTTGTCATTTCGTAATATTACAGGATATGATCTGAGATATTTTATCTACAATACGGAACTTAATTGATTTTTAGAAAAAACTTGTGCTGTGAAAGAGGTTCCTGTTAGTTTTTAGAAAGTCATTTCTTTCTATCTTGAAATAAAAAAGAAAATTAAATTCTGAAATAATAATTGAAATTCTGTATGGAAAATTTCACCAGTATGATTCAACGTGGACGTAAACACAATCAACGAGAATGAAAGAGAGGAAGATTTATAGATTATTATTATCATTATTACAGCCTATTTAGAGTGAATCATTTCACATCAAGTGTCCACGGACACTTTACATGGTGATTATATAACATATTAAATGTTGTATATACAGATTCCATTAAAGACTTGTTTAAATAAAAAAAATTTTTTTAGCATTACACAATGGTTTTAAATTTGAGTGAAGTCTGTGTCACTACAGGGCCGGGACTGTACAGCGCAGTGATTTCTGCGTATTATGTCTTGTTATTTGTTTTTGTGTAAATTATGTGTGGTGCAGTCCCCCTGCACTTACTATTAAACTTCAAGTTAGATTATTCCATTACACAGGGGCTTGGAAACCTGTTGAACAGTTTTGGCTTTAAAAGTAGTTTATCTGATATGAAAAGAGGAGTGGATGGGGAGAGATAGAAATATGAAATAGATAAAGAGAAGATAGATTGAGAGGAAAAAGGGGCAATAGATAGAAAGGAAGGAGGGGAGAGGGGATAGACTTAATAAAGAGCGAGGAGAGTCTGATGTTCACCTAACAATTAAAAGGAGGGTGGGGGTGAAATATTGTCATCTTTTGTCATGGTTGATTGATCAGAGGGGATCACGTGGCTAAGTGGGTAAGGCGCTGGCTCGCTAGCCTGGAGGTCGGGTGTTCGATCCCTGCATTGGCCGAGAAAGTTCATCTCGATTTTCCGGCGTGGTTTCCCCTTGTCAGTGATGCAGAACGGAGGGCCTGACAAGGACAGCTGCCTAGTCGTTCGGATGGGACGAAAAACCGAGGTCCCGTGTATACATTGGCGTGCACGTAAAAGATCCCTTGGCAGTTGGAATTCGATATAAGAGTAGGCCGTAGCGCCGCTGCCCGGGCAAAAATTCCCTCATAGCACACTGTATGGCGTATGCCCGTCTTCAATTAGCCCAGGTTAGGTGCAGAAGCGTAGGACGTTAAACCCCCATTTCAACCCCCATTGAAAACGTTGACCTATAAAGGTGTTAATTAACAACTGTGGTTTGGTGATACCTAATTGAGCACTTAGATTAAATAAAAACTGATATCGCAGACAAAAAATCAGTGTTTAATATACACAATAGAATTCCATTGAATTCCAGTGAAGTGAACCATCATAATTAATCACAAGATATCCCGATAAATAATCTAATATGTAGATCTGCAATTATTCACGTGAAGGGCGGGACATTATTTGTGTGACTCTTTTTGTTGATAGCAAGTACCGGTTATCTTTATCTTGAAGAAAACCACGTTTAGAAAACGTGGCATTTTTTTAACCTGGCCTCGTTCTGGACAAAACACCTCATTTAAAAAACACGGCAGTCTAAAAAGCCACGCTTCGGCACCCCAGATAAACGTGGCATTTATTTACCACGTTACAACGTGGCAAAAATATTAACACGCTTTCGCTACGTTTGGACAAAAATGTCAAACGTGGCATTCTGAGGTATATAGTGTATAAGAGAGAGAGAGAGAGAGAGAGAGAGAGAGATGGGGTTTAACGTCCACTCGACACAAACTAGGTCATTTCGGGACTAACATATGGTTTAATTTTATTTCAATAATTCGCTTGCGTGTAGGGGTCTTTAGCAGTGGGAGGAAACCGGAGACCCGGAGAAAACCCACGAGGTTGGACAGGCGACTCTACTCCTTGTCACGTACGACTGGGGATTCGAAACCACGCCAGTCGACTCAATGACAGACTTTATGATACAGCGCGCGCACGCTAACCATACTTGGTTTTTCACTGATGACCGACTACTTCAAACGTTAATATGGCCGTTGATTATTAACATCAGTGCTACATTATGTTACTTGAACGTTCCTCGTACCAAATATGTTATCTTGGTTATAACTCGTGATGTTTTTGTGACAAAATCGGACGTTTTACATCAGCACAATTTAACCAAAGCAGCGCCTTTTCAGCAACTACCAACAACTATCTTCAAATGACTACTGATAATCACCATTACGTCTATATGTTTCGTTATTTGAACGTGCCTCCTGCGAAACGGGTCATTTTGTTTAAAATCATAATATTTTTGTGACAAAATGTGACTTTCACGCTCGCTTGGCAGCCATAGGGAAGGGTCATAAGTCGTGTATGATTTTGTAGGGATCAGACCACGGTTATTAAGATCTGTATTTAGGAGCAGATCATCGTATAGATTTATTGACTGACATGACTATCATAAACTTGATATGTTTATTATCCACCTACTCATTTAAAGAAGAACCAGAAGACGGAACATTTAGAAGTATTCATGTAGGAGCATTCAATGTCTAGTATTGAAATCTCTGAAGGGGAAGATGGTCTAGATCACAACAGGATTTATGGCACTTCCATAATTTTGACCGCATGTGCCAACCTCCTACATATACCGACGTTTGAGCAAAAGTTCTCCTTTACTCATATTCCTATGTTCGAGTGTAAATGCTCTATGACCTTTCTTCAGGTTTTGGTATCCCAGAGTACTGTTTTGTATTTTACTGTTTTTGATCTATAATGTTCTCTTGTCTTTTAGGGAATTCAATATGGAATGTAGGGTAGCCTTTAGAATGCCTCTCAAAAAAAAACTTCCAAATGTTTCTATACAATGATCGGCTCCTAAATACAGATGGGAATAAGCGGGTCTGATTCCTGAAATATTTTTGACCAAAATTACCTATTTGGCACAAGGAATGTCGTTAGAAAAGGTGATACTCAGTGGGTAACTGGGCGCGCGAACTCACCAATCTTATGTTCGTTGTGTAGTCATCTTGCTGATCGTGTGACTAAGACTTAATGACGCTGGATCATCAACAATCCCCTCGTCCTTAAAACCTGTTACCAGAGCGAACATGTACATCCCCAGAAACACTTCAAGTTTTCTCCATAATGCCTTTTTTATCTTTTAAAATTTTCATACCATTGTTCAAATAATCGGCTGTCAGTGATGAGCCACGAAGGTAAATTTGCACTACGGACTACCCTTATTTCGAATTCCAACTGCCAGGGGTTCTTTCACGTGTACGCCAATGTGTACACGAGACCTCGGTTTTTCGTCACACCAGAACGATTAGACAGTTTCCTTGCCAGACCTTAGGTACAGTACCACTGGCAATCGGAAACCACGCTGGGTAAACTTCGTGAATTTTTCTCGTCCAACACTGGGATCGAACCCCTGCCCTCCTGGTTAGTGAGCCAGCACCTTACTCACTGAGTCACCGTAGCTCCCAACTGTATCGGGAATTTTACAAACATTGTTTTTACCATAATTTTAATTTGATTACCATTGTTTGAAAACCGGACTGCTCACTGATCATTTTAATACCCAACAATACCTTTAAGTAACGTTTAAAAGATTGTTTAAATAACCTAAATGTTGCGTTACGATACGTTCACGTTAAATAACCCTTCAAAGATTGTTTAAATTACCTAAATGTTCCTATACAATACGCACACGTTGAATAACCTTTCAAAGATTATTTAAATTACCAAACTTTGCGTTACAATACTTGCACGCTGAATAACCTTTCAAAAATTATTTAAATTACCAAAGTTTGCGTTACAATACGCACACGTTGAATAACCTTTCATAGATTGTTTAAATTACCTAAATTTTGGGTAACGATACGTGCAATTTCAGTTATATTTTTGATAACCGAAAAAATGTTCCATTTTCTTTAGGTCTGAGTGGTTTACTAATATCCTTTATGAGGTTTATATCTGCTTTAAAATAGTCAGCAACTAAATAAAATTGTGCACAGTTTTCGTTCATTTCTTGTACATAATCTTTAGTAACCCGAAGTCTCCATTGGTTGGCCGTTTGTGTTGAATTTTGTCGTGTGGTACCATATGTTTTTTCGACATTCGTATCTGAATGCGTGTCCAAATACAATTGGCCAATACTTTCAAATGTTGGTGTTAGTCCGATGAATTTATAAATATCATACATAGACGTAAACGGGTTTTCTGCCACAGTTTCGTAGCGTAGAATTCTGTATCTGCTTTGTGGCCTTAGTTTGGAACCAGCCTTAAGATTATTTGTCATTAAAGGGCATAATCGGTTGTAGTGTCTATTGGACTTTTTATATAGTTTACTTCTAGAAGACCCAATGGCTCGGGGATCTCTTATTAAATGGATTATTTTAAAATTTGGCGTTTCACTGAAATACTTTGAAATAGATTTGACAGACAAACGAATTGTTTTTATGACACGAAATTTTGATTGTTGACAGGCCTGGATTAATTGTTGTAAACACTTTGCTCGTAGTATCCTGGTGTTGTTTTTACCCCTAACACACATAGTATATTGGCGTGTTTTTAAGCCTCTGTCCATAAATATTTCGGCTTTGTAGCTTGTTAAGTTGCATGTAAACCATTTTTTAAGAATTTCAAGCTGCCTTTGGGCGTATTCATCGTCACTGATTAGAACATCGTCACTGAAACAAACAATGCCGATAGTTAAAAGTATGTATAAACGGATTAAATGGGGTTTAAAGATCTATTTTTCTGAACTAACCGGGCTATTGAAGAAAGCCATATGCCATATAGTTAAAAGTATGTATGAACGGATTAAATGGGGTTTAAAAACCTATTTTTTGAACCAACCGGGCTATTGAAGAAATCCATAGTTTGTTATGAGGAAAATTGAAACGTGAATAGCAACTCTCAAGGTGTATACGGAACCTTGTTTGTCGCCCCACAGCAAACATTTTCATCGCAACAGCATGTTACTTACTAGGCCACAGTGATTCCCTTGAAAAAATGTAATTTTAAAAACTATTCTGATATGATGACTTAAGTTTCATAATGAAATGTTATATATATACACACCCGGCTTGTTTTCAGATCCCATAACTTAATGCTCTATCTTTATATTGTGTAAATATTTAATGAATCAAATTTCATAAACCTACAAACACACTACAATAATGTTCTTATCCCTCTTAAGATGCCATTTAACATACATAATTTTAGTATTAAATAAAATGCGCTTTTGCAGTCAACCATGTATAATGGGATACAGTCACACGGGTTTGACACACTGCTACAGTACGGAACCAACGTTCAACATACAGATTAAAATGCATATCTATATTTCGTTTCGTTTTATTTTTATACTTTTGATGCTTTCACTGCAGACTAGTAAAACAAAATTTGAACGATAAAAAAACAAACGAAATAAGATGAAATAGCCAACAATTTCGATGGCATTAGAAAACCACAAATAATGTTACCTTTATTTATGAATTTTTTTTACAGTTAAGTTACACCGATATATCAAAATTTTGTATTAATTTAAAGGGACATTATGTGAGATTTAGAGAAGTCCGGGCCGTTCTTGCTATAATAGAAGAATGAGTATATATTGAAAAATTTCAGTCAAATTACTTTTTTCTGGTTTTGAATGTTGATGCAGTTAAAATTGAAATAAATTTGAATTACTTTTAATCCAAAATATACTTTTAACATGTACCAATAGAAAGTTGCCCATAACTCTATTGTCAGAACATTATCGGCACTCTCCGGGAGTGACGTCATCCATTTTCGGAAAATTTCGACTTGGTCGGCAATATTAGCCATATCCAAGCCATCCAATGTTCTAGTGAGCCACTCCCCTCGACCATTTCCATACTTCTATTTAGTCACTCATGCGCTACTAATCTTTTTGGGTTCATTAACTGGGCCGCAAACGCTACTCGTCTGATTGGGGGACGCTCTTCAAAAATCGTCCAAGGCTCCGTCAAGTTATGTTCGAACAATTTGGCATGTGCGTTCCTTAGACATTTGCGCATATTGATTGATTTGTCGTCCAAATTGCAAGATTGATGCGATGACGTCATATCATCCATAGTAAACCGACTGGCACTGAAAGGTCTTGGAGAGAGAGAAATGGGGTTTAACGTCCTCCCGACACAAACTAGGTCATTTCGGGACTACCATATGGTTCAATTTTATTTCTATAATTCGCTTGCGCGTAGGGGTCTTTAGCAGTGGGAGGAAACTGGAGGACCCGGAGAAAACCCACGAAGTTGGACAGGCGACCCTACTCCTTGTACAACCGGGGATTCGAAACCACGCCAGTTGACTCAATGACAGACTTTATGATGAAAGGTCTTGGTTTTAGTCCATCGTCATATTATTCTGTACCATGTCATACTTCAACACTACTAACCTGATATTTTTTACCCTCGTGTAACGGTTTTTCAAGTTATATAGCGGTTCAAATCGGTAGAATACGTCCGGATGATGTTGAATAAGATCTCCTGTGAATGAGGAACCACTTCTCATGTAGGCCAAAATAAGCACAAACGTTGGTCCATCGTGGTCGTGAGCCTTGGTTGCCATTGCCGTCCTGGTATAGTTTGCATAATGATATGTTTGAGTTTCATTACCTTTAAGGAAAAATTAGTATCTCATTAAACAGTCAAGACAAACACTCGGTCATCAGTGAGAACCATGGCCATGAACAAGCGAACAGTGAGTCTGATGCCCCCAGCAATACCCCAAAATAAATAGATAACACATATTGATTAATTGCATATTTATCTTTTTCAAAAGTATCGAGCAATCAAACTGATTATCTATACTTAGTCTAAGCTTAAAATGTTCTCGATCAAACTCAGTCAAGGTTTTGAAGTACCTGAAACTATACACTAAGTTTCACCACTCTCCGTCAGTTAGAATCAAAGTAATCTTGTCTCAACACATCTACCAATGAAATTACTTAGCTCTGCTTTGCTTTAGTCGGAAATGTTATTCATTGAACTCGGCAAAGACATTCATCTAATGAACAACTACATCAAGTTTAAACATTCTACCTCAATTAAAAGCAGAAAATTCTCATCATCGAACTTTGTCAAGGTATTGATATAATTAATCTATACTCAGGGGCGGATTGGGCGATCGGGCGATCGCCCTCAGGGCCGGTCGGACAAAAAATGAAAAAAATAATTTTGACCAATTCGTCTAAAAGAAACTTTTTTTGTGCGGAACATTATATGGGGCTGGGAGGGGGGTTATTGGACCGGCATTGGAGAGATGATGATCATGTTGTATGTGGCCGGTGGCTTTAACGGGGCGCCACGCCATCACTGGAGTCTGGAATGGACTGGTATAATAGACTTTCTGGGCCGGGTGTGCTGGGTGTGGGCCGGAATTCGGAATCCTGCAATGGGGATTCCGAATTTCATCCGAAAATTTCATCGGATTCACCCGACACTGTCGCCCGCAAATTTACTAATTATTAAGTCACCTGCACCCTGTTTGTGGGGAAACGTCTGCCGTCGGAGTCAAGGTAAAATAATTTACCTGGAACAACAAATCCAAAAATCAAAAAGCAGCTTTCATGAATTTCACTTTCGTCACTCTGTACTAATGTGCCTCGTGGCCTTCCATCACAGGAGGAATCAACTAGCGCCCCCGACAACAAAAATATTCCTACTTATTCAATATTCCTAACTGGTTAATCAAATGGTCAAAATTTTCTCAACTAGTCCCATTTTTTAACCAGTTAAATTCTCTTGAATCTTGACGATACAATGATAATACGTTAATTAATAATATGACGATATGATAATTTCACAGGTTGTAAATTACTTGCAGGTCGGTGTTTTGACCTAAATTAATCGATTTATGAGATAAATTATTTGACAGGGATTATAATCAGATATGCCAAAAAATCGCATATTTGGGGTTCATTTTTCAAAATTCTCCAGGGGGAGAGTCAGTAAAAGGGGCCGCTGCGACATGGGAGCCCGTGCCGGTTCCCGGCCCCAATCCGCCCCTGTCTATACTCGGAGTTTCATCCCTCTCACCCAATTAGATATTGTGTTCTAATGTCTACACCAATCAAATTGCTTAAGTGGAAAATGTGTCTGATCGAATTCTGTCAGGTATTGATGTAATGAAACTATACACCAAGCTTCACCACTATCACTCAATTGTAATCAAGTAGTCGAGCTCCAAAGTCTCGACCAATCAAATTGCTTATCCAACTTAGTCAAGGTATTGATTTGACCTAACTATACACCATGTTTCATCACTCTCACGTAATTAGAACCAAAGTTATCATCTTCGAACTCCATCAAGGCATTCCCCTAAGGAACGCCTACAACAAATTTGAACATTCTACCTCAATTGCAAGGGGAGTTATTGTTTCCAAAGTCTCCACCAATCAAATTGCTTATCGTTCTGCTTACCCTGATCAAAAATACCCATTATCGACCTTAGTCATGGTACTGATGTAATAAAACTATACACCAAGTTTCATCACTCTCACTTAATTAGACCCAAAGTTACTTATCTCTGCTTACCCTCACCAGAAAATGCTTATCCTCGAACTCCATCAAGGCATGCGCCATAAACACATATACACCAAGTTTGAATATAATCCTTTAGTGAACATTCTAGCTCAATTAGAAGGAGAGTTATTGTGTCCCATAAAGTGTGTCCCAAACAATATGACAGACAGACAGGCGGGTGGACCGACAGACAGGCGGACAGGCCCATTTTAATAGCCGGGGAACAATAAATATATAATTTGTTATTTGTTTACTGATCATTCGTTCATTTTTTGTTAAATATCGGTCTACAGCTAAAATTTTGAATATTCCGCGGAGATTGCACTTTATAACAGCAACTAGTCCATGTGACAGGCAGATATTCATTACCAATTTAACTATGATTTTCAGTGAGCCTTATGTCTAAAGTGTCCAAAATTGGTTGATGGACTTCAGGGTCACTTTACCAAATGTCAGTTTGGCGGCCATCTTTTAAAATTTCTATTTAAAATAATGCAAGTCAGAGAAATTCCTCAACTGAGGATGGGACAAAACCCGAGGCCCGTGTACACATTTGAGTGCACGTAAAAGATCCCTTGGCAGTTGGAGTTCGATTTCAGAGTATGCCGTAGCACCGATATCCGGGCAAAATTTCCCTCACTGCACATGTATGTGCTCTTTATTCAGTGTTCTTAGTTCTTAATACATAGTCCTTAATTCTTACTTCTTTATTTGTTGTCGTATTTCGACATTTGTACACTAAAATTAAAATTATTTGTTTTACAAATCAGAAATGAAATGAAATGGGGTTTAAGGTCCTACTGTTCTGCTCCTAACCTGGGCTAATGAAGACGGGCATACGCCATACAGTGTGCTATGAGGGAAATTTTGCCCGAGCAGCGGCACTATGGCCTACTCTTATATCGAATTCCAACTGCCAAGGGATCTTTTACGTGCACGCCAATGTGTACACGGGACCTCGATTTTTCGTCCCATCCGAACGACTAGACAGCTGTCCTTGTCAGGCCCTCCATCCTGCATCACTGACAAGGGGAAACCACGCCGGAAAATCTGAATGAACTTTCTCGGCCAATGCAGGGATCGAACACCCGACCTCCAGGCTAGCGAGCCAGCGTCTTACCCACTTAGCCACGTGATCCCCTTTACAAATCAGACATTTGTCATATCAGATTTGTAAAATTTATTTTTGTTTAATTTAATTGTATCTTAATATAATAATCTACATTTACATTTCGCCATAGACATACAACGAAAAATAAATCTCGAACGACAAATTTCCAAATACAAATCTCCAAATACAAATCTTGCAAAACATTTCTTCAAACACATTTCTCCAAAAACATTTCTCGAAATTCATCGAACCGGAACATTATGACGACATGAGCGGAAATTTGTTGTTCGAGATTTGCTTTTCGTTGTATATCTCTGATGAAATGTAAACGAAAGCTATTTTTTTAATTTTCTAAAATAAATTTTATCTTTACATTAAAATACAATTCAGTTAAACAAAAATACATCTTACAAATCTGATATGACAAAATGTCTGATTTGTAAAATAACTATTGAATTTAAGATACAGATGTTAATTTTAGTGTACAAATGTCGAAATACGACAACAAATGACGAAATAAGAATGGTGTATGCCCGTCTTGAGTAGCCTAGTCTTAGCAGACTTTGAAGTGGGATAACTCTACAATCGACCGCCCTCTCCCCCACCCACAGTCTGTTCTTACCTTGTGAAAACTTGTGTTTTAACAGGAATGTAGATATCTCCGACACTGTAATAAAATTCACATATTGTCATCTCAATTTTAAGTTTTTGTTTCATTACAGTAACTATAATATTTTGTTTAATTAGAGAAAGGTTCAACAGAATACATCTTACTAGCCTGGAGGCTCATTGCTGGGGATGGAGTCCAAGCATGAAACTATTCAATTGTTTTTCGGACAACTAGTTTCATTATGTATAAGAATCGTTAAAACTAAATTGGGGAGATACCACCTAAAGAGAAATTTTAAATGTTCCCATTATTAATTAGAATAGGTTTCGCTTTATTTTTTTTATATTTTATGCTAACATTTTATTGTTTTAAATCTTCCTAGAGCAGAAACGGAAAATTTGACCGTTTGAATTCCAGGGTCCCAAAGAACAAAGATGAATTTAGCAAGTTTACATTTTTATTGAAAGAGTGATAACTTTCGTTCATTTCAGTATGTTTTCATGATACAAGAATAGCTGGCGCATTCACTTTACTATAGAAAAGTTGGGTCTTGATTTGTGCCCATTTGATGCCCCCCCCCCTCCCGGCACTGTGCCTCCGGTCTGTACAGTTAATTTAGCAGTGGGGGTAAAACGGAGGACCTGGAGAAAACCCACGAGGTTGGACAGGCGACCCTACGCCTTTTCACGTACAACCAGGGAATCGAAATCACGCCAGTTGACTTAATGACATCCTTATGATAAAGCACGCACGTGCTAACCATTCGGCCATCCAACCCCTGATGGTAAACAGAAAACAAACACACTATTCTAATTACTTTCAAAATGTAATACTTACTTATAAAAAGGCTGACGAATCCACAAATCAGGCTGATAAGGGCACAATATCTTAGTTTATTTTGCCCAAGCATATTTTCTACTCAGCTAGGCATGAAATGTTAGAAATAAATAAAATATATAAATTTATATATAACAGCCCAAGTTAATAATCAGTATGTTAGTATATGATTATACCAGGGCCGATATTCGTTTCATGCATTAAACACTAATCTTGCCTTTTCAATTTTGTAAACATCTATTTTATTTTTAGAAATATTTATCCTTTAAGATACTTGATCAATTCAATAATGATAAAGCAAACAATATTATATTTCAAGCACAAATTGATCCTAACCAGTTGGTGTCCGCCATTACCGCATTATATGTAACAGAACTGGTTAAACACGTTCCAAATATAATTTTAAGACAGAGATCATTGTTACGATAGATACGTAGCGAAGATCTTAAGAAACGGGAAGTGACAAAAAAAAAAAAAAAAATTTTCGTCTTTAACGGATTTATCAGTGAACTGAAATTCGACCGTGTATCTGTTATCGCTCGTTCTTTCAGTCAGTAATATATAAGGATGCGCCATTTACCGTTTCTTCAAATCTTCGTACACATCTACTGTAACAATGACCTGTGTGTTAAAATGATATTTGGAATGTGTTTAACCAGTTCTATCACATATGTAACTGACACCAAACTTGTCCTTTAATTGTGTTTAAAAATGCAGGACTATTTATAGATTCAGTATATTTTAAGGGGCTTTATTTGAACATACTTTAAACATATGTATTTTAAAAATGCAACGAACGATCGCTTTAATGATTCTCCTGGAGTTTTCCTTTCTAGTAGTATTTCGTAAATCTAATAAAATATGCGCTGTGTACGGTTACATCCGTAAGTCAGGAATGACCGGGTGTGTGAATATAAATAACGAACAATCCAAACCATTAGACAATTATTTCAAGCTTTTGGTCACGATTAAACCAGAACATCAATATCAGCAAAATCATATATTGTATATATACAAACTAAAATAGCATCCGCGGAAGGGTAAGGGTCAACTGAACGGAAATTAAAAGAACAAGAATATACCATACTTATGGCGCCTAAATTTAGTTACTTCACACCAGACATTGTAAATATTGTCAGATTTGTTGTTTATTGTTTCTTTTAAATTTGGGAACAGAGTAGTTTACGTACGTAGTGAGGACATGGCAGCTCCGCCTGAAGACTTTTTATGAACCAAACAAACTTTACCCCCCCGCCCCCGCCACACACAAAATTATGCAAAAATATGGTTTCTAACTTTAACCCTGCATACCCAGAATAGGGAACGAGTACCGGTCAGGACAGGGATATGTTTAATGGCAATCTGAGTATAATATTGAATTACATATAACTCTAGACATCAGGGGCCTGTTTCACGAAATTTTAACTAAGATAAAATCCAAATTTTAGTAATTTGATTGGATAATATTAGATTGATTTTAGTGCTTAGCCAATCAAACTTGAAGTATCTACTAAAATTGGATTTTATCTTTAGTTAAAATTTCCATAAACAGGGCCCAGTTCTCTCGGTTAAAATAATATGTTATACGAAAGCGTCTACATTATATACATGAGGGCAATGTTGCTAGATGGGTATTACCGACGCACAAAATCTACCGAGGCCAGAGATATGTTTAAAGGCAATCTGATTATAATATTAAATGCCATATAACTCTTAGACATTAGTTCTCTCGGTTAAAATAATATATTATGCTGGTGCATGAGGACTATTTAAGTAGATGTGCATTACGAATTATTATTCGGAATCTCAAGAAAAAAAATAAGTGAAAGCTTTTTATATAATAGTGGTGAGATCGGGGTGTGGTTAAATGGAATTTCCATTTGTTCAACTCAATGACGACACGTTTGAAATGAACACTGCCGATGACGTCAATTGGTGCCATTAGTGGCATCCATTTCCGGGTGATGCGGGCATGCAATCAAAGAATTAAAATGATTTTATTTTTAATGTTGAAGTTGCTACCCTACTTGAAGCGTGTATAGCTCTATTCCTTGGAACCTTAAAATTTAGGAAAATAGGTCTAAAATCACAGATTATTATAATATAGGTAGGTGTATATAAACTGATTCCCATTCCATTCTGTAACATTTTTATTGTAATATCTAATCAATGTTGGGTTAAATACGTGAACAGTCAAAATTGATCGACAGTCGTTTACATCTGCTTTATTTTGTCGTTTATGAATCAGCCATTTCTACTTTATACTTCCACATGGTCTTGTGGGGTACCTTTTTCTTTGTTTCTTACAAATGGCGCTCAAAACCATAGAGTAAATGACGTCGTTAACGGATTTTAAAATGTTCGTTATTTCTTAATTATTGGATATTAAGATGTTATATTTTCGCGATAAGATAAAAACACCCATATTGATTATCGATTAATTAGGATTATCGTGCATGTTATTGAGTTAAATGTTTAGCACCTGTAATTTGAATAAAAAGTTTATTTCATTAGATTTTACATACCAGTATTTTTAAAAAAAATCCTTTCTCTCATTTCTGAACATGTGACCTTTATCTTCAGTTTTAGAGGCATGCAATCGCGGATGTGGGCCCCGGGTACCAACAAACCCCTGCAAGGGTCTGATTGGTGCCTAGGATTTATTACGTCATATTATCAATCTGAATATTAAAGAACCTACCTTTCACCGAGATTAAGTTCTCCCTGTCTAGATGTTATGCCAGGGCCTATGTATTTTAGTGGCTGTAGAAAATACACGACACGAATTCTCCTGAGTGAAATAAATAAAGACCAACATGAGTCTAGTTTGGACTCAACACTTAGTAGAACAAACTTACCAATAATATATATATAAATACCATTCAACAATAATTAGTTTTATAGCACTTTGCGAATCAATCTTCCTTATTTATAACTCCCTGTGTTTCAGCCAATAATATAGGTAATACTACATTCTGGTATATAAACCATAAATAGGCGTGACCCCATTTGTTTAATATTGTACATATGTGCACTGTCCGACTTCACGGCTATACGATTTAACATCTCTCTCATTCAGAAGACATTCGCGTTCTGTTTAAGAGAACGGATGCGTCTACCACTCGATCTTCCAAGCAGGATGTACGCATATGTTTATGACGATACAAATAAACAGATTGCTAATATATTATGCACGTACTTGATTTAAAACCGAATTTAGTTAGTTGCTTGACATTTTAGAACCGGATGGCAAGTCAAGAAAATTGTTTAATGTAATAATAGCACTTGCAGTAAACATTGTTATCACGGCTATATTCCTTAGCCACAATTTATTCTTTCGGTTTTGTGACATGGATAAATGAAACAAGGTTTAACGTCCCCCGATTCTGTCAATTTTGGACCCCTCCATTCATTATTTATTGCCTGATTCGGAGAAAAGCAAAGTTCCTCTGAATTGTGGCCATATAGGCCAGTTGCATTATGCCAAAGAAAAGTATTATGTCTGCAAAGCGCGTAGCGTTATGTTGAACTAAACCTAACTTCTCTTTTGTTTTCTATAATTTGATATATCTAGATAAATACCTGAAATGTTCAAATATAATTAGTGTCTTAATTGTCCGAGTCTATAATTCCAAAAATATATAGTTTGTTTATTTGGGAGGACAGTGTAGCGGAATTGTGTTTCTAAGCAAGCTAGAACTTTTGGCTGCAGGCCTACACTGGGGTGGCGGTAATTCTGGCGGTGATAGCGTGATTACCGTGCATGGTGTCGATTTGCATGGAAGGCATATTGTCTTCTCACAGTGCAGACCGTATGTGTTCTTATTTTTATTGATGTAAATTCGTATAAATATTAGGGATTTAGTGATAAGTGGACAATTTCCTGTTATGAACTTTGTGTTGTGTTTCATATTAATAAGTGACTTTAATTAATTTTGCAACGAGACTTTCATCGTGGGTAGTGAATGGTTTTCACGCAATTAAGTGAGTTTTATGTCGTTTGAATTTATTATCATCATAAAATAGACTATATATGCTTAAATATTAACTTTTGTAATCATCATATCGCTGGATATATATATATATAAACTTTAATAATCAATCATTAACTGTGTTGGTATATATACTATTCAAAAAAAGTAGGGGATATTTGATTTTTAAGTGTTATTAAAGTCACCTAATGAAACTGACGAAGAAACAAATGACAAAATGAAATGAAGTTCACATTCATCGATTTATTCCAAATGATCGTTAGACTAAGTAAGACACAGACTGACCATTATAAGGGTAAAATGATACCCGGGGTCAAACAGCAAAGTTACCACAGCATCACAATCAAGTCAGTAACGGGTAAATCCTCCTCTGTTTGCCAAACAAGCATTGATCCGACGTGGCATACTCCTAATGAGACGTCTAAGGTCATTTTGGTCCAGATTGTCCCATTCCTGTTGCAACGCAGCAGCAAGTTCTTGGACATTGGCAGGACGTTGTTGACGTTGACGTAACCTCTGTCCAAGCATGTCCCAGACATGCTCGGTGGGGGAGAGGTCGGGACTCAGTGCTGGCCAAGGTAATGTGGTGATGTTCTGTTGTTGGAGGTAACCTGTAACGATCCTGGCCCTGTGACATCTTGCGTTGTCAGCCTGGGAGATGAAACGGCGGCCATGACGTCGTGCGAACGGCACAACATGGACTGCCAAGATGTTGTCCCGGTAGTACTGGCCTGTAACACGCCCTGCAACAACATGTAAAGCCGTTCTTCCAGCAACAGTGATGCCTCCCCACACCATAACAGAACCACCCCCAAATCGATCATGTCTGATGACGTTAACGTCTTGGAAGCGCTCGTTTCGACGACGCCACACCCTCCTACGTCTGTCCAAAAAATCAACAGTGAACCTTGACTCATCTGAAAACATCACATTGCTCCAGCGTCGATTATCCCAGTGTTGACGATCCCTACACCAACGACGTCTTGCCCGAATGTGATGATCTCTCAAACAAGGGATCACGCGAGGACGTCGGGCGCGAAGGTGACCCCTATGCAGTCGATTCCGAATCGTCTGGCCACTCACTCTCACACCAGTGTCTGTTTGAAGACGAGCGCTGATCTGATTTGCTGTGATGACACGATTTCTCAAGGCCAAGGTACGGATAAATCGATCCTGGGCTTGAGTTGTCGACCTGAGCGTGGTCTGTCCTGTACAGATTGTGTATCACGGTATCTGGACTATAGCCTGCTTATGACAGACTGAGAAACATTCATCGTCCACGCCACAACCGCCTGTGTTGTGCCGATCTGTAGCAAGCCAAGGGCACGTAACCTTTCATTTTTGGTAAGCCGACGCATATCAAAATTTGTTTTCTGGTCACTAAAACAATTAAACTGATGTTTCCACCCTGGAATTCGATGCCACAATGACTGTAACATTCAAAGTCAGAGTCGTGCAAATCTTGGGTTGGACCCCCATGATGATCCCAAGCATCACCTGCATTCCATGCGGTAGCTATTGGTGCGTTTGGGCGTCACATGTAACTGGAAATGTTTCTTCTGTTAGGTTCTATAGTGACTTTTTTCGTAGTCATTTGCATATTTTAGTATTATGCCCCCAAAATCAAATATCCCCTACTTTTTTTGAATAGTATATATATATATCGCTGGATATATATATATAAACTTTAATAATCAACCATTAACTGTGTTGGTATATATATATATATACTATTCAAAAAAAGTAGGGGATATTTGATTTTTAAGTGTTATTAAAGTCACCTAATGAAACTGACGAAGAAACAAATGACAAAATGAAATGAAGTTCACATTCATCGATTTATTCCAAATGATCGTTAGACTAAGTAAGGCACAGACTGACCATTATAAGGGTAAAATGATACCCGGGGTCAAACAGCAAAGTTACCACAGCATCACAACCAAGTCAGTAACGGGTAAATCCTCCTCTGTTTGCCAAACAAGCATTGATCCGACGTGGCATACTCCTAATGAGACGTCTAAGGTCATTTTGGTCCAGATTGTCCCATTCCTGTTGCAACGCAGCAGCAAGTTCTTGGACATTGGCAGGACGTTGTTGACGTTGACGTAACCTCTGTCCAAGCATGTCCCAGACATGCTCGGTGGGGGAGAGGTCGGGACTCAGTGCTGGCCAAGGTAATGTGGTGATGTTCTGTTGTTGGAGGTAACCTGTAACGATCCTGGCCCTGTGACATCTTGCGTTGTCATCCTGGAAGATGAAACGGCGGCCATAACGTCGTGCGAACGGCACAACATGGACTGCCAAGATGTTGTCCCGGTAGTACTGGCCTGTAACACGCCCTGCAACAACATGTAAAGCCGTTCTTCCAGCAACAGTGATGCCTCCCCACACCATAACAGAACCACCCCAAATCGATCATGTCTGATGACGTTAACGTCTTGGAAGCGCTCGTTTCGACGACGCCACACCCTCCTACGTCTGTCCATAAAATCAACAGTGAACCTTGACTCATCTGAAAACATCACATTGCTCCAGCGTCGATTATCCCAGTGTTGACGATCCCTACACCAACGACGTCTTGCCCGAATGTGATGATCTCTCAAACAAGGGATCACGCGAGGACGTCGGGCGCGAAGGTGACCCCTATGCAGTCGATTCCGAATCGTCTGGCCACTTACTCTCACACCAGTGTCTGTTTGAAGACGAGCGCTGATCTGATTTGCTGTGATGACACGATTTCTCAAGGCCAAGGTACGGATAAATCGATCCTGGGCTTGAGTTGTCGACCTGAGCGTGGTCTGTCCTGTACAGATTGTGTATCACGGTATCTGGACCATAGCCTGCTTATGACAGACTGAGAAACATTCATCGTCCGCGCCACAGCCGCCTGTGTTGTGCCGATCTGTAGCATGCCAAGGGCACGTAACCTTTCATTTTGGGTAAGCCGACGCATATCAAAATTTGTTTTCTGGTCACTTAAACAATTAAACTGATGTTTCCACCCTGGAATTCAATGCCACAATGACTGTAACATTCAAAGTCAGAGTCGTGCAAATCTTGGGTTGGACCCCCATGATGATCCCAGGCATCACCTGCATTCCATGCGGTAGCTATTGGTGCGTTTGGGCGTCACATGTAACTGGAAATGTTTCTTCTGTTAGGTTCTATAGTGACTTTTTTCGTAGACATTTGCATATTTTAGTATTATGCCCCCAAAATCAAATATCCCCTACTTTTTTTGAATAGTATATATATATATATATATATATATATACATACACACATATAAATTAAATTAAATAAACACATAATAAAAAAATGTTATTTGCAGAATGTTCTTTGCAATAGATATGTTTTTAAAGTCTTCTTAAAACTTTCCAAAGATGGACACTCTTTTAGATTTCGCGGTAGTTTATTACATAGTTTTGGTCCCGCAACACTGAAGGATCTGTCAGCAAAGGTTTTGTTTTTGGAACATGTAAATCCTGGGCGGTCGATGACCGTGTGGAATATCGATTCGGGTTATATGTTAAAAGATCACAAAGGTAATCTGGAGCATTATTGTTCAAACATTTAAGTTCAAACTTAAGTCAATCGCAAGCAAAGGAGATAAAAGCTGATGTTCCATGTGGTGCAGAAGATCATTGTAAATCTTCACGTCAAAGTATCGGTGCTGTAATTAGTACGATACGCACTCTCCTAAGGCGGACGGAGTTGATGCCAATTCTGGTGTTGCGTATAGCTAATCATGGATGCTTTCTCGACCAATTTAGACAAGAATGACACGTTGCTCACTGGACGATACTTCTTTTTTATCAGGTCAAGATTTTGTTTTTTCAACAAAGAATTTATAATCTTTGTGGAATACAGTCCAGTCGATAGTGAAACATTTATCACATTTTGGATGGCTGGGGCGAGGATATCACAATGTTCCTTCACCAACATGGACGGGATTGGTCTAAGCTACAGGTAGTGGTTTTGCATTGCGAATGAGCTTGATCACTGTGGTGGGGTCAACATTTGAGTATGAATCAAAGACTAAGTTACGACAGATGGTTTCTACTTTATCTTCAAAGTAACGCGCATTCATTGG